AGATAAAACAAAGCCTGCGCCAAATGTTAAGCATTCATATATCGTGTAAGTGAGTAATGGTGAAATCTAATCATACTTGTACAGGTAGATCCCCTACTGTTCATAAACCTGTCAGGGTCATCTTCAGTTAGATTGAGAATGTGTGATAGGCACAGGAGAGGTCATCAGACAAGATGGGGTTTTGAATTTACAAGTAGACAGTACGTTCCAAGCACACTTGAATAATTATAGTGTTATTATACATTGTACATGTTCACTTCACTGTCTACTGATCTTCACAGTTATATTTCACTTGGGTGTACAATGTGAGTTTAGTCAGATTTTGGACTATGTAAAAAACATGCACTGCCACTCTATTTTTAACCCTCTTGGTATTTAAACAATCAGAGACAGTCAAATTTACTTTCACTTCCCCTGCTATACTTTTAACAAAGGCTAGTCACCAGCAGTCAGATCATATGTCAAGCAAGCACTGTGACTAGTCAAACTGGGTCAACAGACAAAGCAGGCGAGTTGTGGTCACAGCTGTTTTATCACTCATCCGGAGTCAAAGCATAGCTGAAAGCCTGAATCAAGTTAATGAAATCATCCCAGCATGTCTAATGTCTATCCTGTTTTATGTGGGCCGAGAATTTTTAACTGTTGAAAACAGTCACTTGTTTGATTTTGACTGAAAGAACTACTCGTACTTGGCACAGAATGTATGTTTACATAGATTAATTACATAGTATCTAGTCATATAGTAAGCACCAAAACATGTTCAGGTTGATACAAACACAGCATATATATTTTAAATTTATAAATATGCTTTTTAATAACTCAGGTATGCAATTGAAAAGTAGCCCAAAAAGGGACATTTTTCGCATTTTTTTCAAATGCATCGGCGTGAAGTGAAAAACCAGGAAATCAGCCGATCTGAGGCTGAACAATACAAAAATACATTGAACATTGTTTGACTGAATCATTTGTTTCACTTTACTACCGTAATTGTGAAATTCAAAACGAAATAGAAACTACGATATCAGTTGCCAATTCCGTTAGTAATTCAACTGATTACAATGAGAAAAATTATCAAAATCAGATTATTTTTTACAGCTGTTGTTTTTGTTCTTCTCTTTTTTTTCCTCTAACCATTAAAGAAACCTGCGCTCCACTTTATCTAATTGTGTAATTAAACAGGGCTTTAAAAAAAAAAAAAAAAACCAGAAAAAAAATTCAGCTGGGGTGTTAAAACAGGTGTTAAAAAAACTTCCAATTACTGTACGAGACAAATGCGCATGGTCAGACTTGGGCCATCATGTGCAGAAAAGCATACAAAACAAAATCAGGCCAACTTCACTCACTCGTTAGTTGACTAAATTCTCTAAAATTTCTCAAGGCATCGACGGTCCGAAATTTCACCAGCCTAGTTTGAGATCTCAGTAAGCCTCAGTACTAATGACGTCACACTTTGTTTACATGTGCACTTTCCTATGGAGCCAGTGGGGTCAACGGTCCACTGAGCACCATAGGAAAGCAAAAAGCACACGCATTTAAACAAAGTGTGACGTCATCAGTACTGAGGCTTATTCAATTTGTAAAAATGACCTTTCTTTAATATTTCGCACCCGAGAGTGAAGTCAAGTGATTTCAGTTTGAAGGTTTAGACTAGACTGGTACATGTCCAACTTGTTGAGACGATTGACCCTTCAGTAGTCTGGTGGCATGACAGTGGAGATAATGTATAGAAATAGAGACTAGGTACCAGATGTTTTTTAATACAGTTGAATGATGCAGTACTAAAGTGGTGTTGGATTGGTTGCTCCATGCACCAGTCTATTTTCTTGTATCCCATATTTTTACTATCTTACACATTGGGACTCTCATACACAGTATTAAAGGGAAGATACAACATTTGCAAACATCAAAAAACAAAATTATCAAATTATCACGAAATACCTTGCTAGATTGTTAGAGAATGAAAGTCTTTGGCATCCTGTAAAATCATGGCTCCTGGTGTGCCGACATTTGAAAGAAAAATTGTATTTTTCCAACACTGGTCGGCCGACCAGAGTTGGAGAAAACTGTCTTTTTTCAAAACCTGCTACTAATTTTTCATTTAGTTATTCCGTATTGTCTTTGCAATCGATTACACACTTGTGAAGGGGTACAAGCCTGCCAGACTAATTCTCTGACCCTACAATTCCCCAAAGTCTATAAATTTCTCTGTTTCATCTTAGTTGGGGCAGGGAATTGCTACAAGCACATGATTGGTTTTATTGTTTTTTCAGCATTTACAGACCCAAAACGCGAAACAAGTCAGCTTAACAAGATTTGCTGTAACATACTAATCCTCCAAATCCGTGTATTTATGAAAATTGCAGCAAAAGCAAATGTTGTACATTCCCTATAGGAGTCTCAAATGTTTGGACTAAACAATGTATGTATGTATGCAGACAGATTTGTGAATGTAGTATTTATTTTACAAATAATTGGTCTCTCTGGTAAAGTCATGGGGCAGGTGAACAGTTTGAGCATGGAGCTCCATGGTTTGAGAGAGTTCAATTTCACCATTAAACACCTTGGGAGGCAAAAAGGGGCTTGGTTTTTGACCTCCTACGGTGGGTCATGTCAGGTCATGTAACCCTCAGTCGGTGGTGACTGAACTTCATCTCACTGCACTTTCTTCAAGGGTTTTCAAATTCCTTATTTCTTGTGATACCAACTGCGGCCTTCAGAAAACGAAATGAAACTGCAACCTTGCCCTTTGGCCTGTACCCCTGTGCACTATTCCAACTATTTTCCCACGAGAGAAATAAAGTTAACCACAGGAGTTGTAAATCTGACAACAGATATGGGTTCATGTTCAATTCCAGTTAAGGTGAGAGTAAAGCCAATGTTTTTCATCGCTCTTTGGTTTAGTATTACTTGTACTTTCCGTTTCAAAGAATTCACCCTGGACAGGAATTTGTTGACAAAGAAGTTTGAATATATAGTGCAGAACATGTACATGAGCATCAAAATGCATTTTCGGAGTAGATAGAACAAATATCAGCGTACGCAGCGATTTGTGTAAGATTACCCTGTTCTTTACTGAACTTACCAAACTAGTTAGCACCATTACAAACCAAAAGGAACATGTATAGGAATATATCGTATAAAGAGGGCAGGGTTTTTATTTTTTGAGGGACATTTTAGGGTAAAGCAATGATTTAGACGATAAAATGCAACACGAAACTTAAGATGATGATCGCATGGCACCAACTGTAAAATGCGTAAGAAAATTGTATTTTCTACCGCAAGAAACTTTTCAAAATTACAAAAAATTGTGTCGTCAGAAGAGAAGTCTGCTTTCACTTTGGAATGATAAAAAAAACACCCTACATTGTAACTCTAAAAACGGGCTCTACTCAGTAAAGGTAATGACAGTCTTCATAAACCATGAATATGTAACAAAAAGAATAAAAGATATGTCACTCGTTGTATACAACGCCATGCTTATGTCATTTTGAACCTAGCGAAATTTTTGAGAGGCCGTTGTTTTAGGGTCTCTTGCTACCACACTAATAGAGGAATAGGTTATGTCTCCAGCGCTACATATGATGTGAATGAATATGAGCATGTGGAAAGATTTCCATATATACGAAGTTCACTCAACACCCTGTGTACAAACCCTATGAGATTGGACTGAAAGATTCTAAGTGTTTTCTAAGAAAACGCCTGTATTTTCTCAATGCTCAAATTGACTTTGATGACATGAAATTGCTATCTGGGGGCTTGTTAGTCAATACAGAGGAAAATTAGTGAACTTCGCATATATGGTAATCTTGCCGAGCATGTCAGCTGGAGTTACTCAAGCTAATGTCATCGCATGATCTCTTCTGATGATCTCACTTTCACGTTTGCCATCTTGTATTCTTGGTTTTTTAATTCTAGTCTGTTTTCTGGTCGTTGTCTTTTACCCCTAATTTTCCTCATAAATCAAAGCCCTGCCCTCTTTCGGCACAATTGCAGAATACCCCGCCACTCGATCTATGCACCTCATAGCAAGCTACGGAGTCACGGTTGATTGCCCTCAATAAACCTTCTCACTCTCAGCGCTACATGTATGTACTATGCGTCATGCTCCACTGCACTCCCACTCCGTATCGGCGTAGCCGGCAACAGGGTAGGCCTAGTTGGTTTGGACTTTGACTTTTTTTCAGCAACTCCCATTACTTTTGTGTTGCTTCGTTCTCAAGCATTATAACTTTATTATAAATAAGGACTCCCACTTCGTATCCGCGTAGCCGGCAACAGGGTAGTTGGTTTGGACTTAAAACAATTTTTCAGCAACTCCCATTACTTTTGTGTTGCTTCGTTCTCAAGGAGACCCCCACTCAGTATCCGCGTAGCTGGCATCTCCATCTCCATTGTTTAAGTCAGCAAAATATCCTGCCGGATACATCAACGCTAACTTGCGCACTGCGTGTGGAAATAGACTACTGGTGGATATTACTGAAATGTCCCTTGAATTCAGCTAGTGTTGCGCTGTTCACAGCAGCCGAGGAGAGTGAGTTCCAGTGTTTAACAGTTGACACGAAGAATGAATCTTGGAAGGCCCTAGCTTTGTGACTGACTTGAATGAATTTTTGGTTGTTTCCCCTTGTATCTCTGGTATTGGGCTGAACTTCTTTTCCAGTGATTCCAACCTCGTACTCGTAGCCAGAGAATTTAGGGGTGTATTTCCGAGTGGCGGGATATTCTGCAATTACTCCCTTCTTTCCACAAAATTAAACCTGCTGATATTCAACATCAAGAAGGCGTCCACGGTCTAGTGACAGTGTTCAGATGCGTCAAGAAATATCACTAGAAATTGAGAATGTCACTTTTTGTTTTGACTAATTTGAGTGTCACATTTTCAGTTATTTTGGTCCTTTTTTAACATAGGAACGGGGTCTTGTGGATTACCAAATACACGTCCAACTACATCGTAGCAGAAATCTTTTTAACGTGTTTAATGAGAAAAAAAAGTCACTCACCAAAATTTAACTGCCAGAAATCCAGAATAAAGTGCCAGAGTGCCAGAAATGAAAACACGACCGTCTGCTGTCCACGAGCCAACATACAAAATGTAGGCCTACATGCGCATATGCATGATATCGCATGCACGACAAATCTGATAGAAATTTACACTGGTATTCGATTGCCCAAATAGCAAAAACGTGCACGCTCTGAAATTGCAGAATACCAGCTACATGAATGATATCGCTCCTTGTAGGCTGGTCTCCTGCAATGTCAACACAGATGCTGCGTTTTACGATGCGAGTGTGATACAGGTACCAGACACATTAAAGGAGTAGCTTCAAATTGAATTAAAGAGCAAAAAAATACCTAATAAATCCTTTTTTAACAGCACTTATTTCGACTAGATGTCTTTTGCAAGAATAAAAAATGAAACCATAGGTATATATTCTTTAACTTCCTTCATGAAAGCTTACTTAAAAGTTACAAAATTAATCCCATTAACCGACCCTATGTATGCTCCTTTAACTACAGCAGCTGTGTCTGTTTTGGGTTTTGACATTTGCCAAGTCACACCGGGTCAGTGTGATCGTCCTGTGCTAGTCGGTAGCTGTGGAAAAAGTAAGTGTGTAACTGCGAGTGCTTCGTAAAACCAAAAAACAGACATTTTATCCTAAAACATGCTAAAATATGGGAGGGGGGGGGGGTGTAAAAATAGGCTTTTTAACTAGTTTTACTGACATGACTGAAATACACTGAATGTTAACACAATGGTTAAAGGGGCACTAGCCGGCCTAGGTCCTGAAATCCCCGAAAATGTTATGTTTTGGATTGTTTACTTAGCCTATTTGAAACATCTGGTGGAAGCTCCAGGAAACCAACCTAGGCCCTAATGTCTTACCGTTCCCGAGAAAAGAAAAGAAAAACCGCTTGTTTGCATTGGACATGACGGAGTACGAATACGTTATTTCTTGCCGTTCTCAGTGACAGTGTACGATACACACGTTGTGTGTCTCGGGAACAGTGGTGACCAATCACCAATGCAAAAAAATGGTTTCTTCAACGTCCGCAAAAGGTGAACGCTTTACGAATGAAATCACAACTAGCATCCAAACAGCTCGAATTTATGGTGTCGCAAAAGTGGGCCCCGAAATTCACGCATGCATAATACAGGAATTACTCAAAAATGCCCAGTTTTGAAAGGATAGTTGTGTGGATGTGTATATCCTACTTTTAAATGTTATTTCCGATGAACATCATCTCTAAATATGAATTTTTTACATCATGTTGGAATTTTCGTAGTGGCTATCGTTACGGCAGCCCTAATGAAACTTTCAACTGCTATCATTATGGCATTGCAATTACACTATTGCCAATCTATTTCACATGAGTGCCTGTCCAATCAGAGTGCTTCAGTAGCTCGATTGGTTAAAGGTTCAGCTAGGCCCACTAAAGTATCAGACTATGCGGAAGGTTCCGGGGAATCAAAATTCGCGCGGCGCAGTTGTTGATTTTTTAATTTTTTTTTTTCATTTAATAGTTTTCTTAAATTTTAATGTTGTTAATCAATAAATGTTTTCTTTTTTGTAATCAGTAGCTTTTTGGCAGATTTTCGGATTTTCTTTAGAAGGGAAATAAAGTCCAAGAACCATTTGGTTGATAGTCTGGTTCCAACAGCCAAAGATCATGACATTGAATACTATGAGGTCAGGGAACCAGACGGTTCCATAACGATAGTTGAAAATCGCATTACGGCTGCCGTACTGATAGCCACTGCGTACATTTTTTCCCCATGAACATGATCAATCAATCGATCAATTATTCAATCAATGGGAAATAGCATAGGCCTAGACTAACAAATTACATTTTGACAAAGAATGTGCAAAAATGTTAGTCATATTGCGAAGAATACCCTTTATACAATTATAGATAAAACAAATGATAAAAACAAATGGGCCTTGAAAATGTTCTTCATTTTTTAATGTGTTATTTTCTCTACGTTACTCTAGAAAATATTTTCAGCAGTTTTAGCAGCACACTGCCACCATGTCAGCGTCGGTGAGAAACACAGGGAGGGCGACCAACGGCAGTCGACTACCAGCCGTGAACTCGGCTTTGAAGGTCCGGTCAAAAAAAGAGCTTGGAATGTTGAAGGGCGCCCTCACTGAGCAGCTGCGCCAGGATATGAAGAGGTCATTTTTGATTGATTGAAATAATGGGCCGATGAGCTTGCAGCTAGCTCAAGAAAATATTATTATAGGTCCTAACTATTTTGTAAATAATGTGATAATTAATTAACCAGTTCGCGCCAGGATTATTTTGACAGGAACGAAACGAGGTGCCGGATTACTTTTCACCCGACCTCAAGCCAGGCGGGTTGAAGCCATCACCCTCAAGCAACTCTGTCACATTGACGGCCTCGCTCGCTGCGAGCGGGTCGCTGACAGATATTTCTGGCCTCTCTCCCTGCGTGTTTATCTGTCATCTGTTCCGAATACCGCACTCTTCTAACCAGGGCGAACTAGTTAATTTATTTAGTCTGTTTGGAAATTGGAAGGTTTTGGACATTTTGAAACAGATATTTTGGGACACAACTTTGATGACGGACAGTTCTTCAAAAGGACAATCATTCAGACTTATTCATTTTACTGTCATTTGGAAATTTATTTTGCACACTAAAATTTAAAAAACCTTTTCTATCTTAGCAAAGTTGATAATAAGCAGGACAAGTTCTTCTCAGAACTAATATCTTCTAAGCAGTAGTTATTACCACATGGTGTTACCGCAAACCGAAACGATAACCTTTCTATCGTTTGATCATTCACAGACAGTTAAAATTTCTTGCACTTTCCCTGCCGTGTATTTGTATACAGACTAGTAAAAAACGGTCAGATCACATTCTTGCAAGCACCGTGACTAGTCAAATTCCATCAACAGACAAAAGAGGTAACTGGTAGGTACAGCTGGCATATCAATCACCTCCAGTCAAACATGTCTATCAAATAACAAGGGATTATGAACTGTTTAAAACAGTCACTTGATTGATTTTAACATTTCTCCGTCTTTGTCTGTTTCGTCACCAGGTTGTTGGATGACGGCACCTTTGCAGACCTGATATTAATTGTCGAGTCGGAGAGAATCGCATCGCACTTGCTGCTCTTGCGGTTTCGTCTGGCCGAGTTTGTTGCGTCAGTGGTTGAGCCTAGGATGGCCGGGAAGGAGGGAGATGCTACCGTGGCCGATTTGTCTGGTCTGGGCGTAACTGCCATGGATCTGAAGAACTTGCTGAGGTTGGGTGACCCTTCATCGCAGACTTCTAATCATAAGCTGGTCACAAGTCATTCATAAGCTAGTCACTAATCATCACAAGTCATTCATAAGCTAGTCACAAGTCATCACAAGTCATTCATAAGCAGTAGTCACAACAAGTCAATTATAATTTAGTCAGTCATAAGTCATCACAAGTCATTCATAAGCTAGTCACTAAACATCACAAGTCATTCATAAGCTAGTCACAAGTCATCACAACTCATTCATAAGCTAGTTACCAGTCATCACAAGTCATTCATAAACTAGTCACAAGACATCACAAGTCAATCATAAGCTAGTCAGTAGTCACAACAAGTCAATTATAATTTAGTCAGTCACAAGTCATCACAAGTCGGTTGTAAGCTAGCTACTAGTCTTTTTTTTATCGATTTATTTCGTGTTATTTTACCAGGGTAGCCCCATCAGTTGTCAATGAACTGTTCTCCCTGGGGGCCCTGGATTACATAAAAACATGATATAATAACAACAAAAATTACAAAAAACACAATAAAAGACATAATGAATGTATTACTAAAAATAACCCAAGGAATTAAAACCGCACAAAATTAAAACCCTAAATTACAACAGATGATGTACAACCCAAGCAATTAAAACCACACAAAATAAAAACCCTAGATAAAAACAGACGATGTATAGATAAACAGATTCAAAATGGAACATTAATTCCGAGTTAAAAAATTCCATTATCTTGTTTAAAATGATTTCCCTTGTCCGTTAATTAAAAGGCAACTGTTCTTAAAATGCAAACCATATGTAAAACCCGAGTCGTCACACGTCTTTCGTAACGTTTGTCACAGGTCAATTACAAGTCAATCACTAGTCGAGTCAAGCTATATAAGTTAACCGCAAAGAAGGCATTCACTAGTTATTGATCAAAAGTTGCTACTTGTGATTTGACTATTATAGACTTACGATGGATTGAATTTACAACTCTGCTTTATCCACAAAATCTTTCAAATCTAAAGGAGTTTTTACGTGGTTGCCTAATCTTGAGAAAACAATAACTGAAGATGTTCCCTTGCATTCATTTCAGAGCTGCCTATACAGAAGACAATGCCATCCCTTTCTGGAATGTGTTTCGGGACACGATGAAGTCACATGACGCAGCTGAACCAATGGAATGCGAGGCGACCAAAGTCGACTCCGACCAACGTATGGACAACGAAGAACACACTTCAGAAGCCAGTGGAATAAACGATCAGGTATCCGTCCAGCCACAAGAGGTTGCTTCAGTTAAAAATCCACTGGAAATGAATGAGGCTGATGCTGGGAACCTGACCGCTACTACAGGTGAATCAACCATGGAAGTTTGTGAGTATGTTGGCTTGGAAACCACGGCGGGGGTAGAACCAGGCACCACAGGACAGAAGGTTCCAGAACAGCCAAATATAAAAACCAAACAAGCTTCGGACCGAAGTCAATCAGGCAAGAGTCCTAAAAACTCCAAGTTTGCGAACAAACGTGCAAGAACGCACTCCGAGAAGTCTGCCAAAAGTGACCACCTGTCTGCAGAAGCCAAGCCGAAGTCTTCCAATACCGACAACAGGTTGCCTGCTGCGGCGTGCCATTTAGGCAGGGATTTATTACGAATTTTCACCCAGGATTCTGGTCATGACATCATCATCAAAGTGGATGGGAAGGAGATACCTGCACACAGGTAAACTTGAGGTAAAGTGTCCTACTTAGGGACACAAGTAATACTCTTGTATTGCTCATGTCCCTAAGGAGGACACTTTACCTTAGTTTTATTCTAAAGTTAATGAGTCAACCAGAGGTCTTCCGTTAGTGTCCTCCTTAGGGACATGAGCTGTACGCAGGTAAAATTGAGGTAAAGTGTCCTTCTTAGGGACACGAGCAAAACTCTTGTATTGCTCATGTCCCTAAGGAGGACATTTTACCTGACTTTTATTCTTAAGCTAATGAGTCAACCAGAGGTCTTCCGTTAGTGCCCTCCTTAGGGACATGAGCTTTACGAGCCATACTCTTGTATTGCTCGTGTCCCTAAGGAGGACACTTTACCTTAGTCAACCAGTGGTCTTCCATTGAACTTTCTAAAGCTCGCCCGATGGTGATACTACTCTCTTTAAGTACATAAGTGTACAAAAATGAACATCAAAGTAGCAAACTGTTCAATTTTCCCTTTTCAGATTCATGTTGTGTGCCAGATCACAGTACTTCTCCGCCATGCTGGAGGGAAGTTGGAGAGAAAGCAGCTCATCGGAGGTTGAACTCACAGGGTTAGCTGATAACTTTCTTCATTTCGTATTTTTGGAATTTTGTTCAGTTATATTTTGGGGAAGAGGAATTACAGTTATTTTATTATGCAAAAGAGAAGTGCTTTGGATGTCATTCCTGGAAAGGAAAATCTTTAAATATAAAAGAAAGCCTTTTTTATGGTATTTTTACATTTCTTATTTTTTTGTGTTGAAGCATCTAACTTTTGGTCTTTATTTGTTTCTTTGTAGGTTTAGTCATGCTGCAATGATGCTTGCGTTGCAGTTCATCTATGGAGGCGCTTATGAACTTCCAGATGGCATTGTATTAAGGTATGCTAAGTCCATCACAAGTCCATCACAAGTCTGTCACAAGTCCATCACAAGTCCATCACAAGTCCATCACAAGCCCATCACAAGGCCATCACAAGTCCATCGCAAGTGCATCGCAAGTCCATCGCAAGTCCATCGCAAGTCCATCACAAGCCTATCACAAGTCCATCACAAGTCCACCACAAGCCCACCACAAGTCCATCACAAGTCCATCACAAGTCCATCACAAGTCCATCACAATCTACCACAAGTCCATCACAAGTCCAACGAAAGCATCACAAGGCCATCACAAGTCCATCACAACTCCTTCACAAGTCCATCACAAGTCCATCACAAGTCCATCACAAGTCCATCACAAGTCCAACACAAGTCCAACACAAGTCCATCACAAATCCTTCACAAGCCCATCACAAAGTCCATCACAAGTCCATCCCAAGTCCATCACAAGTCCATCACAAGTGCATCCCAAGTCCAACACATGTCCATCACAAGTCCATCACAAGTGCATCACAAGTGCATCGCAAGTCCATCACAAGTGCATCGCAAGGCCATCACAAGTCCATCACAAGCCTATCACAAGTCCATCACGAGTCCATCACGAGTCCATCACAAGTCCATCACAAGTCTATCACAAGTCCATCGCAGGACATAATCATGTATTTGTTTCTCCATAGGGAATTGCTGTACCTGGCGGACATGTATGGCCTGGACGTGTTCAAGAAAGTCATTGAGCTCAAGCTGAGAAAGGACTACTGCCATTTCTTCCATAAGGTTTACGGTTATTTTTTTTTTCTGAAATGACCTGAAACCAAAACTAACTTCCGGTTTGCTCAATTGCTTTGAAAGATTGGGTTGGTTCTAGATTTGTGTTTGCGTCATCCTATAAGGTAGAAAAACTTTATTGATAAACCTCCCTCCAAAAACGACCAACAAAAAACGAAACAAAAAAAACATAACAAAATCTGGGAGAACCACCAACATAGGGCTGGATAGCTCAGTTGGTAGAGCACTGGAACGGTAATCCGGAGGTCGCAGGTTCAAACCCTGCTCACATATTTGTATTGGATAGGCCTTTGTAAATTATTGGGTAAACATTTAAATGTTGAAAGATGCATGATCGTTTTGAAAATCGTTTGCCGAATTAAACATAGATTACCATCCTTTAATCAACAGCCTTGTAGTGTGTGCTTAGAGCGCATCCCAGAATGCCTTGCGTTAACCTCTGACCTCGACCCTTCCAATCTCTGTGATGATATCTTCAGGTAAGTGTCTGATAAGAGACATTCCTTCTACTCAGGTTGGCGAAGTGGTACTTTCCTCGCCTTCCACCGCTGTGACCCGGGTTCGAATCCCGCCTGGGCCAATATGTGGATTGGGATTTCAGTCCCTGCCTGATTCTGTGGGTTATCCCCAGAATATTCTTCTGGGCTTTTCCTCCCACCTCTAAAACTGTAACTTCTTCTCATTGTCTTCTCTCCATTTATCCATCCTGTTATTGGCGCTTGCGCTATTGGATGTGGCTGAAATAAAATGAAAATGAATAAACTGAAAAACTTGACAAGATCATATAGCTGATATAGCATCTTAAAATAATAACAATTTGGCCTCTACCATACACATGTACCCATTTATACCCCTGGGTGGAGAGAGGCAATTGTAGTAAAGTGTCTTGCCTAAGAACACTAACACCATGATTCGTGTCTGATAAGAGACATCTCTTTCACTTGACAAGATCAGCCTGTTCATATAGCATCTTGAAATAAGGGCAATCTAGCCTCTACCCTGCACAGGTACCCATTTATACCCTGGGTGGAGAGAGGCAATTGTAGTAAAGTGTCTTGCCTAAGAACACTGACACCAGGATTCGAACCCACGAACCATTGCACACAGGTCAGAAGCACTTACCATTGGACTATGATGTGTTTCAAACGATTGTTTCAGATTTTAGCCTTCTGTGTTGTTGTGAGATACACATGGGTTGGATCAAAATGGTAAAATTGTCTCAGAAAATGTCTCACAAAAATTTAGAAATCCCTCACTAGACCGTTATTTCACCCGCTTCATCTTTTTATTCGCCCGTGATTTTATCCCAGCTGGCTGATTCAATATCTGGACCGTGCCTGGGCCCAGAAGACTTTTGCTGCTCTACCTCCGGACTTGCTCTTCAAATGCAGGGAGTTAACGGTCCAGTCATTCGTGAGTTTGCATCATGTCCCTAGATCCTTAATGCGATAAATCGGTAGTGGGCAGTAAAGTTATACGTTGCGTTGCATCCAGTATTTCGTGCAGTGCACAGTATCTATAAAGAATGCAACTTTAATACATTTAATTCAAATGTACATGAGACAGTTTACCAATTCCTAATGGTCGAGAGCCTGTCACGTGGGTTGTTTTGAACAGTTGATAAAACACCAGCTGGCTGGTTTTAAACACTTTTCCGGTGTCATATGAAATTTGGACTCTTATGAAATCTGGTTGAACTTGGTTGAACGTTCACAATCTTCACTTAGGCATGTGCAATATTACCAATGAGTCCGTAGTTCATAGAGTCCTAAATTCACACTACACCGGCACCGCTGCATTCTGCGCCACTTGTGCAGTACGCGTACCAATCTCCATATAAGGAGATTTTCAGTACTACTCACGAGAGGCACATACCACGAACACAGCTAGAGGGGTGTTTAAAAACATGAAGTAAAATTGTTCAACAAAACTGGGGGCAATTTATTATTTATGACTTGTTTTGACATTTTGATCGAAAGGTATCTATGAATGGGAATAAATCAGTCGTCAATTTCCTTTTCTTCTTTCTTGGTGTACATGTAGTCTTGACAATCAGCCGTCAGTTTCTTTATTTTCTTACTTTGTGTACATGTAGTCTCCTGAATCAGCCGTCACACTGCTTCTCCAGATAGACAAGCTGGTCTGTAGCCTACCTCAAGTTAGCTGGACCAAGGCCGTTCATTCTGCAGCCGTACATCTGCAAGACGCCTGCGTGCAGTACACTGCCACGATCTTCATGGAGATCGTCAAGCAAACGGAATTCTTGAGTCTGCTTGAGGTTAGCGACCAATCTTCAAAGAGTTGCTAAATAAAACCACACAATTATACCAAACGCAGAAAAGACAAGACATTCCAAAATAGGTTGTTTTTGGGAAAAATGACCCAACCACACTGCATGCAACTGGGAATTTAGAAAAAAATGAGGACATTCCAAAACACACAAGACTTTGTACGGTGTTTTTCAATTTGTAATGGCATTCATGAGAAGTCAAAAACGAGGAAATCAGCAGTATCATTTATACTCCTGGGTGGAGAGAGTCAAGTGTGGGTGAAGTGGCTTGCCCAAGGACACAACATATGACCAGCAGCTGGATTCCAACCCCTGACCCTCTGATCATGAGTCACTAACCCCAACCACTAGACCCCACTCCCCTGTAAAGTATCACGCCGAGTATAAACGCCAATGAACGAGCTAAAATCTGGCCCATTGTATACGCCACAAATGACTACCAGTGAATAGCCAATCTGAATAATTGAATAGAATTTCGTGCACTCTGGGTCCATCTTTACTACGCTTGCCTTGTCTGGTTTCCCGTTCAACAGGGCATGAATTGGAAGAAGGATCTCCTGGAGCCAGTCTTTAATCGCGTGGTGCCTTCTATGACGTCAGACACGGCCAACGCCACGTTCCTCGCGTTACATTCCCTCCAGGCTGTTCTGACCGAGACCTGTGAACCGGGAAGCTGGCATCCGGTAAAACATACAACCATTAAAAATGATCACGATTTTAAAAGTTTAATTTTTATAAAGAGTGTTAAAAAGTTCAAGATCTACTTTAAGAGTTGAACTTTTTCAGAGTTTTAAAAAGTTCAAGATCTACTTTGAGCTGAAGAAAGAAAACAACCGGAGCAGGGTTTGAACCTGGACCCCCGGAACACGATACCATTCTTCTACCGTATCTGAGCTGTCCAGCTGCAAGTCAAAACCATCATAGTGTTCTAGAGGTCGAAGGTTCAACCCTACTCCAGTCAATTTTAGTGTTCAACTTTTAAAATTATTATAATTTACCTAGTCAATTTCCTTTCAGTGATTTATTTGAAAGTAATAAAATGGTGACAGTTTGGAAGAAGACTTCATAGGACTAGATTTAACGAGTCACTGAATTTGTGCCTTTTTTTTTTTTTTTTTTTTTTCATTTTTATCGAACTTTCGCGGTCAAAAGACCGAATTGCGGTTCAATGTACAAAGATTAAAAGTTATCACTTATATAAAAACACCATTAAAACATTATTAATTAAAATTACACACACACAAATTTTGACCAAAAATACATATACAATACATTTAAAAGCATACTTAACATTAAAATCACATTAACATTTTCAGATTGTGAAAACAAGAAAAAGAAAGAAAAAAAAACAAACGGCACTATACAATAATAAAATAAAAATGGTCCAGCCTTTTTCAAAATCCAACCGGCAGTTGAAATTTAGGGGTGGTATATATCCTGGAGAGTATTTTTTTATATAATTTGTTAATTTTTGGTATTTTTTTTAATTTTTTTTTTTCCTTTTTTGTTTAGGTAATGTGATTATTATAAAACTGTTGACAATCAAGTGCGCATACATGCGTTTAGTAGTTTTGTAAGGTACGGGACAGTACTTTTGGAGTACCATTCCACCTTTATTTTAGGTTCAATGAACTGTCGTCTTTGTCTTAGTTCCATGGCATGAACTCTACTGTTTAGGGGGTACCAACTCTTAAAACGATCAGAAGCAACACAAGATTTGGCAAATTGTAGACAAAGATCTTCCCTCCTGTTAGCCAAGGTTTTCATACTAAATCTAGACAATGCATGATCATAAGTGGAGTGATCCTGATCCAAGATTATCTTAAATGCCCGTTTTTGGATTGCTTCAATATATGATGTTTGATTTGATGTAAAACCAGAGTGCCACACAGGGCTCGAATCAAAAATTGAGCGCCATCATATTTACTATCACAAACGATGACTTTGATTTTTATTTTTCACCATGTGTAAAGAATCTTCCTGGTGTCAGAGTCATCAATGTATCTTTCGGGGTTTTTTTCTTCAGGATGCGGTGCCCATGGTCAATAAGTTATACTCACAGTGCTACAATTTCATGGTCAGCAACGCCAATCGCATGGCCCAGGCCAGAGGCTGGAAAGGACTACCTGAAGATCTTAGAAAACGGATCAAAGAAGGTTAGTGCAAGATAATTCCAGATCGCAATTTTGAAATGGGAGTTCGGCAATGGGTCATTTCATTAGCATTGAGGGCGCCGTTTCTTCACCATTTTCTTGGATATAAACAGAAGGGCTGTGCATTGGAACCAGGTACCCGAGCACCGAACCATTGATCTCAATTTTACATGTCCAGCATATTTTACAACTTGACCCCAGATGACCTTTGACCTTGGTGTGTGACCTTTGGCAGCATTATCATATAAAGGTTCCCATGTTGCATCAATGACCCCAGTTTGGTTTCAATTGGACATCAACTTTTCAAATGAGACCAATTTTACCAAACTTTAACCAAAAGAACACATACATGTGGATGTACATACATACATGTACATGCGTACAGACATAGTGATCGCATTCCTGAACAAAGTCCAGGCGAGACAAAAGTCCAGGCGCGACAAAAAAAGTTCAATTCCCAACGTTTTTTTTTTTTTACGAGCGCTGGCAATGTAATCCAGTCGCGAGACTCTCAAAAGGGTGCATTCCGTTTTCTGAAAATCTATAGTATCCACAGAGCTGAGAGTTCAACAGGTAATAATAGTTATGCACCCTGCTGACGATTTAGAGCAATGTTATTGCTTTAAACGAAAAAAATGCACAAAGACCAAAAGGATCCTTTGAACCTTGAATTTGGAATTTAGTCAGGAGAATTACGTGCAGTACTCGTATTGTTGATTCAAATGCATTCATGTGTGTGTTAGACATGAATGCATTTGAATAGACCCTTAAAATAACAATGGAATTCAGCTGCAGGACAGTGTACATTAGTATTTTTAAATTGAATGCAATTTTGTTTGTCATACAACAATACATGTAGATTTCTAAATCTGTTTTCCGTCGTCTTTGCAGAGGGGGTATTTATCGAAAGTCATGGGAAAGCGCCGGCCCGTAAGCCGGTTCTAAGCAGCTCGTTAAAGGTAAGTGCACTCTCCTCAAGGCTTGGTTCTGGGGAGGAAAAGTAATGGCAGATTTAAATTTACAACACTCGTTTATTATCATTTGCAAACCGGCATTCTGTTCAGATAATTGTTTTTGGAATTCCAAAATGAGTGTGCCTTGATTTTTTAAGATGTCAATCTTTTTTTTCTTCACATAGCCGCACTTTGGCACAGCTGTGACCTTTTTGACTTTTTCGGTTTTTAGAGAGACAAAGTCCGCAAGCTCCGTTTTGATAGTTGGAATAAAAAAGTGTTTTTTTTTCTGGTATATATGGACAAAAAACAGTTGTATTTATTAGTACTATTTTTTTTCTGGGAATGAAACCAAGCATTCCTCAAAAGCGCCCTAGGCACTGTAGCTCGCAAGCCTGAAGAAACCTGTAGAGAGAAGACAATGAGAAGAAATTACAGATTTAAAAGTGGGAGGAAAACCCCAGAAGAATATTCTGAGGAAAACCCACGGAATCAGGTAGGGACTGAAAACCCAATCCACATGTTGGCCCAGGGGGGTTTGAACCCGGGTCACAGCGGTGGAAGGTGGGGAAAGTACCGCTACGCCAACCTGACTCCCTTGTTGAACAGATCAGAGGAACGATATCTGATATAAATTTCTCGCCCCCCCCAACAGCGTCACTTTCATAAAATTACAACAAATGCTGCAAATGTCCACAACTTTTTTAAGTTCCAAAATATTCTTGTTTACAAATCAGGGCAAAACCAAATCTGGCGCAAAGGGGACGTGAGAAGCCAGCTGAAAATTTGGAAGGTGCTTTTTCAGAAAACTGTGGAAACTGCTTACACAACAGTGCTGACGATTTCAGCAGGAAAGCTGAGCCAGCCCTTAGTGTATTAAGTCAGTGTGTATTAAACATTACATAAAACAAATTATTTCTTAAAGGGAATATACAACACTTGTGAACATCAAAAAACAAATCTACCAAATTATTATGAAATACGTTACTGGACTGTTGGTGAACGACAGTCTAAAGCATTCTGTAAAATCACGGCACCTGGTGTGCTGTCATTTTCAAGAAAAGTGGTATTTTTTTATCAATTTCCAACACCGGTCGGCTGACCAGCGTTGGAAAAAGAACGCTGGTCGGTCGACCAACGTTGGAAAAAAACTGGCTTTTTAAAAATACTGCTCCCAATTTACCATATTTACTTAATAGTCTGCATTTTGTTTGCAATCGATTACACACCTATGAATGGGTACAAGCCAGCTAAACTGGTTCCCTGACCTTACAATTCCATGACGTCTATCAGTTCCTCCATTTCACCTTAAGTGGGGTCAGGGAGCCAGACTACATGAACATGATTGTTTTTCTTGGGTTTTTCCAGCATCTCCGAACCCAAAACTTCAAACAAAATCAGTGTAACAACATTTGCTATAAAATACTAATCTATCCATTTCTGAAAATTACAGCAAAAGGAAATGTTGGTATATTCCCTTTAAATTCAGAACTCAGTGAAGCTGTTTTGCTCATTTGTACGGGCTGTGCATGTATGTGTTAGCTACTTCCATCGATGCTATTTATCAATATTTTTTTATTAAACATACTTAACTTTTATATAAAATTTCAGGGCCTTCACAATGTAATCGTGTGCAATGTTTACTTATGTACAATGTGCATGTAGTTCTGTGAACTTTTTGGAGGGTTTAGTCTAGTCAGGTGCACATTACCAAAGCTGGTGAATGTATTATCGGTGTGTGTGATACTTCCATTGAGATCTGTGGTACCAGACATCTCAGGACCAAACATTTATATGTATTTTTTTTTTCATATCAAAGTTGGTTTTGTACGAAAAATAAAAAAAAATCCTAGCTTTTCACTTAAATCCCTTGAGATATTATTGCAGATCACTCTAAATTAAAAAGCCTAAAGACTTGTTTACATTTTCATATTATTTTGTACGTTTCAAGAATTGTTTTGTCCAATTTAATTATTTAAGTGTTTGGTAATGTATGAATAAAACAAGCTGCCATGTAATTGCATAAGAGAATAAATGTGTGATTGGGAGGTATTAAACACTGTGTTTAAGACTGGTTGGAGTCCGGAATGCTTATAATTACCCAAGCCGAAGGTGAGTGTAATTATCAGCATCCAGATTGTTCATAAATACCTTTTCGTTCAAAAAATCTAACCTTTTCAGTCAAAAAGATACCTTTAAGTAAGTAGGTACTTTTTCAGATACATGTTGTAATTACCAATGTTCCCAAATGCCTTAAAGGTACACTCCGTCCTGCAAAATGCCCAATCGGGCTACAAGACGTGTTTCAAACGAAATGTTAATTGGAAAGAGTATTTAAAAGTAGAATAACAGCGTCCATACAACCATCCTTTTAACAATTCTTGGCCATTCTTGCTAGAAAGAATTTCAGGGGTCAAAACTTTCACTCTCAAAAAATGAGCTGTTCCACTAAATCCATCACATGCTGTGGATGTGCAGGAAACAACATGTGTGTACTGTGCTGTGTACATAATGTGTACCCACAGAGTTTAATATATTAAATTACTAGAGCGCTAACTCATGTACGAAGTGATGCCTGCTGGGCACATCCATGTTTGTACACAAACCTATGGAGAACTAGAAATTTTGTACATATTTTGTACGTCTATTTGCCGATACGCCCAAAACAGAACGCACGATCAGCTAAATGAGCGTGTCATTTTGCTCTACGCAAACAGCGCCACGTGTGCACGTCCCTCCGCTGCAGATGCTTTTTCGCCGTGACGTTTTTTTAACCGTCATGACGCGCTTCAGGCATGCAATTTTCCTCGGATCAGCTGATTTCCTCTTTTTTTACTTCTGATGTGTGCCATTGAAAATAGAAAAACACTGTACAAAGTCTGGGAAAAATGTGAATTTCCTCTTTTTTTTGTGATTTCCCAGTTGCATGCCTGGCACTTAAGTTGTTTGCGTATCTTCTACTTGCGCATTGCATTTAGAGTACACCTTAAAATTCAATCCATCTAATTTGATTGTGTTCTACAAACACGCACATAAATTCAAAATGTCTGCGCCCAGAGCAGCTTCAAAGCTTCTCCGCGCGCAAGAATGAAGAGTTAGTATGTTAATATAGCTCTATGTGTGTACCGCACATTAAATTGTCTGACATAGGCACAAAAGCTAGGGACAATGTTCAAGATGGAGACGGCAAATTCACGGCTGAAAAAATAACATACGCGTATGCCAAAAATAATGTCCGCCGCGTTGTAAGAAAACAACCGGGGTGTTTTCGTCTTTTCTCAGTAACAGTGCAACATTCAGTTAGTTTCCTTTCAACCAGACTTTTGAAATAGGATAAGTAAACAATCTTAAAAAATGAATATTCCGGCGATTAGCCAGTTCACGTCAGGTGTCGTGTATACACGCAAAGGTTTTGCAGTATTCGGAACGGATGATGGATAAACTGGCAACGAGCGAGGCCGGAAATATCTGTCTGCGACCCGCTCGCAGCAAGCGAGGCCGGAAATATCAGAGTGTGCTACCCGCAGATGCTGGCTTGAACCCGTCTGACATCAAGGGCCAAGTTCGGGCAAGGACCATTAGTCGACTAGTGGTTGATTTGTGACGTACCTTACGCCTGCGCACTAATAGCAACGTGCGAACGTCTCTAGTCAAACGCTGGTCAAAATGTCATCGCAAAACGTCTGGAGCCTGGCTCCCTGCTTGCGTTATGAATGCGCGCGGCTATTGGTTACCAGCTAAGCAACCAACCCCAGTAGGCTGGTTCCAAATAGTCGACTAGCGTAGTCAACCACCGTCGACTAGACAGAGTTCGGGCAAACGTTAGTTAACCATTGGTCAACTATAGTCCTTGCGCGAACTTGGCCCAGGTTTGTGAAAAACAATCCCTGGGTCTGGTCAATGTCATAATAATCCCGGCGCAAACTGGTTAACATGAAGAACATTAGTATTCACTAAATGTTACATGAAACAAAATAAAAGTAAAAAGAAAATGAAAATGAAATAAACAAAAACTGATGAATTTATTCCTTCCACTCGATATAACATAATCCTCAAAGTAATTCCGACTCAAATGAAAGTTAAATGCCTACAACTTTATGGTATGATTGGGATATTGTTATCTGAAAAGTACCCAAAGTTGTCAGCAATCCTACAAATTATCTCAGTATTATACACCAAATATCATTTGTTTAATACATGTTGATAAAAAAAAAATACCGAAATATACACACATTAAACATCCACTTCAGTTAAAGTCATCTACAAATGTTTTCTACAAATTCCTGATATATTCAAGTTATTTCCAAGACTTTACAGATAAATGTTAAGAACTCCAAAAATATTTAAGACCTATCTGTAACAAATGTTGTGCATAGAAAAATAGTTTGAAAAATATATATATTACAACACACATTACATTCACAAAAAATAAAGTACACGTGAGTTTCGAACACTTCAAATTTCTCCAGCTGATCGAGGCCAAAAAATATTGTTCCTTGCTTCTGGTCGTCTAGCTTCAGATGCTGAAACTTGGCATTTCTTTTTTCGTTGCTTTGAAATAATCCGATGCCAGCCAATATTTGAAAAGTATCACTCGGTGTTTTTTCAAAAGACTTTTCAGGATGTAAGCATTTGCCTGTTTTGTTTTGTGGCAAACTTCGGTGACCCCCTAATATTTTCCAGCTATTTAGATCTTGGACTAAGAACCAGATATGATTTTTGGCTTTAAGATTGAAGATGATCAAAACACACTATCTAACACTGTCATATCATTAAAACTACTACGATTCAGTTAAAGTTAATATTTACTTACAGTTTCATAATTTCAAATACTTTTCCGAGGGGGATCATTTGTGGTTAGTATAAGACAAATCTACAGGTGTGCTCATAATTGTCAAGCTTTCGAAGACAACTCTGGTAAAACAGATGTGAAAAAATAGAGATTTACTCACCCCTTCTGATATATACACATTTCAATTTTAAGAACAAAATAGATGTATTCTCAGTGTGCAAGATACTTTATATCCCGATTATGTAATGACAAGATTATACATTGTCATCAGCAGTCCATATCTAAGGTTTAGTCCATTTCTGTTGTCGCGTAGGTGCATGTACATAAAACTATTTAAAATATGTCCATTCTCAGCTACAATAATTTGTACACATTTGAAATCACATGAAAACACATGCTTGTTAATTTGGTAATGGCGATAGCTAGAGTCAGCAGTTGTGACAATGTATTTACACGATTCCTGTATTTCCAAGTGAAATTATAACACACTATCCACAGATTCTGTATCTTGCTTGGCCGAGAGCGCGTCACGTGGCATTTGCTATTTTTGCTATCTTGCTGTGCACGGCCAAAAGTACAATACCTGTAGCAACCAAAGTACCATGTATTCGCGCAACAATTGATATTTTGTGGAAATGCATACGGGTGTGCGCGGTGCGCGTATTGTTCCCAAGAGCTAGCACTACAGAGCTGCGTTTGAACATTTCATGAAGGGGTAGTTTGGAAAAGTGAGAGTAAATATTCAACTTATGTCGCATTCAAATAGAAGTACACTTTAATTGTCTTTAGACACTATGCTTGACAGGGACAGTTGGACCCAACTCATCAAGTCATCATGATTACGAATGAATGAAGAAGAAGATGATTAAATTAATCAGTTATCACTTAAAATCAAGCAGAATCTGTGGGAGAGGTGTTACAAAACAAATATTGACTGCTTTGTCTTGTGGTGTAATAAAAGTAGCCTCCCTCGGTGATCCATGGAGCATTCTATTTTCCCTCGGCTTCGCCTAGGGACAAAAAGAATGCTTCATGGATCACCTCGGGAGGCTAGCTTACTACACCACATGAAACAGTCAATAGTTGTATACTATATCCTTTTGCAAAAAAAAAAACACACAGTACCAGAACCGATGTATGCAAACGAGACTATAATCCGAGTATCAGAACAATTACTTGAAGTAAACATAACATAAACATCAAACTAAGACCATAACTTCTTTTTTTTCAAGCGTTATCTGTCCAACACCTACTTTATTTTTTAGAAAAATCAAAATCATTAACAAATTATTCAAAAACAAAACAAAAACTCCGCATATTATTGTGTTGACACAAGATGTATCAGTCTGATCATTAGATTGGTGATGATTGGACCATACCTACAGTGGAGCATCATAGCCGGGGTTGTTGATTCCAGTACTGTAGCGGACGGCCGGTGCCTTGCCCATCTCGGCAGTACGGCTAGTGTCGTAGATGTCACCGGTGGGGTTCAGTCGGCCACCGAAGGTAGACCTGTTCTTGGCGTGAGTTTCGTAGGCCTCCAGGCGGAACTTACCCAGCGACGGGCCCCAGTTCTCACGAGGATTGGACATGGCCTCCCAACGCTAAAAATAAAATAACAAAATTAATTAATAAATAATGGTGTGCTTATTATAGCACTTTATACCAAAATAACTTCACAATTATTACCCCCGTTCACCAGGCCATGAGACCGTTTTCTGCAGCAGCGGAATTAGAGCAATCTGGTCTCTACCATAGGCATTCATTATATACTTATTGGTGGATAAAGGTTATTGTGGTAAATGTCTTGCCAAGGAACACAAGCACCATGTTTCCTGTCAGGGTTCGAACCCACATACCATTGTACATGAGTCAGACTCTAACAATTATGGATAGAGCAATTGTAGTAAAGTGTCTTGCCTAAGAATACAAGCACCGTGCTTCCCGTCAGGGTTCGAACCTGTGTACCATCCCACATGAGTCACACATTGGCAATTATGGATAGAGGTTATTGTAGTAAAGTGTCCTGCCTAAGAACACAAGCACCATGTTTCCTGTCAGGGTTCAAACTCACGTACCATTGCACATGAGTCAGACATTCGTACCATTGCACATGAGTCACACATTGGCAATTATGGATAGAGGTAATTGGAGTAAAGTGTCCTGCCTAAGAACACAAGCACCATGTTTCCCATCAGGATTCGAACCCACATACCATTGCACATGAGTCAGACTCTAGCAATTATGGATAGAGCAATTGTAGTAAAGTGTCTTGCCTAAGAATACAAGCACCGTGCTTCCCGTCAGGGTTCGAACCTGTGTACCATCGCACATGAGTCAGACATTGGCAGTTATGGATAGAGGTAATTGTAGTAAAGTGTCCTGCCTAAGAACACAAGCACCATGTTTCCTGTCAGGGTATGAACTGCGTACCATTGCACATGAGTCACACATTGGCAATTATGGATAGAGGTTATTGTAGTAAATGTCTTGCCTAAGAACACAAGCACCATGCTTCCCGTCAGGGTTCAAACCTGTGTACCATCGCACATGAGTCACACATTGGCAGTTATGGATAGAGGTAATTGTAGTAAAGTGTCCTGCCTAAGAACACAAGCACCATGTTTCCTGTCAGGGTATGAACTGCGTACCATTGCACATGAGTCACACATTGGCAATTATGGATAGAGGTTATTGTAGTAAAGTGTCCTGCCTAAGAACACAAGCACCATGTTTCCCGTCAGGGTTCAAACCTACGTACCATTGCACATGAGTCAGACATTGGCAATTATGGATAGAGGTTATTGTAGTAAAGTGTCCTGCCTAAGAACACAAGCACCGTGCTTCCCGTCAGGGTTCGAACCTGTGTACCATTGCACATGAGTCACACATTGGCAATTATGGATAGAGGTTATTGTAGTAAAGTGTCCTGCCTAAGAACACAAGCACCGTGCTTCCTGTCAGGGTTCGAACCTGTGTACCATCGCACATGAGTCACACATTGGCAATTATGGATAGAGGTTATTGTAGTAAAGTGTCCTGCCTAAGAACACAAGCACCATGTTTCCTGTCAGGGTATGAACTGCGTACCATTGCACATGAGTCACACATTGGCAATTATGGATAGAGGTTATTGTAGTAAAGTGTCCTGCCTAAGAACACAAGCACCGTGCTTCCTGTCAGGGTTCGAACCTGTGTACCATTGCACATGAGTCACACATTGGCAATTATGGATAGAGGTTATTGTAGTAAAGTGTCTTGCCTAAGAATACAAGCACCGTGCTTCCCGTCAGGGTTCGAACCCTCGTACCATATTGCAGACGAGTCGGCCATTGGCAGTATCAGTAAGTGTTTTCTAAGACCCGGCAAGGGATTATGGGAACAGAGAGAACAACTCACGTCAGACAAGCTGCCCGGAGTGCGGATGAACTCAAAGATGGCGATGACGGGAATCCAGATGATGGACGAGAGGATCATCATCCAGCCGATGGCACGCGCCCAGGCTGGGTAGTCTCCGTTGTAGGTCGGCTCCGACCAGTTCATCCAGTTGAACATCAGCACAAACTGTGCAGGCAAAACAAAAAAACCCAAAGAATTATGTGTAACCAGGCAGATATGTTGCAAGTATAAGCAATGACTTTCCAAGCAGGGATGTAGTCGATTCCATCACAAGTCCTGTCACAAGTAACAGTGGATGAACAGTAACAAAGGAAAGCCTTTGTCAAAGCTCATTTGAATAGCTTGTGAGTTGAATTGGGACTGGAGGACTTGTGATGGACTTGCAGGGACTTGTGATAGTCTCGACTACATCCCCGTTTCGAAGCCAATTCGACTTCTCACCATTGTAAAGGTAGAGTAGATCATTTGCAGCTATCCAAAAAGTAACTGACCAAATTATTGTTGAAACGCTTACATGGCTTACTTGGTTTTAATAAAGACAGAAATGGCACTAAACTCCCTGTGGAATTATTCTTTCTGGCATACTGTCATTTTGAAGAAAACAATCAAAGAACGCCATTTCCAAAGATGTGTTAAGTGACACATTTTTGGAAATTTCCGTTAGCAGCTCATGGTTTGTAATTCGCCCAATCCGTGAATGGGTGCGCGCAAGTGTTGATACGACGCACACACGCACGGTTGCTGTACTTGTCAGTTCAGTGCGTGACATCGCACTGAACGCTGATTTCGGGCGCAATTCAAAACAGGACTCGGCAACTTTTCAATTGAAACCGAGATCCTAGAATATTGTTTTCTCGGAATATACAGCATTCACAGAGCTAAAAAACTTCATCAGGTTATGGTTGTTAAACCCCCGTCTTTAGAGTTTGAGCACTTTTGTTGCTTCAAAAAAAAAAATGCAGAGACGACAAATGATATACCTGTAATAAGAGAGGGCAAAACTGAATTATGCACATTCTCCCATATCGGACACGCTCACGATGTCTGGTTTCTGGACCTTAAATCAAAACACTCACTGAGAGAAGCGCCGGGGTGATGCAGCACCAGTTGATTGGCCACCAGAGGAAGAGTGGGAAGTCCACCCACCCGCTGCCGATCATGGTACGGATGTCGTTCTTGAAGCGTTTGACGCCGTAGAACCAACTCATGGCGATGCACTCGCAGAGCCCGTAGATGAGCAGGGCGAAGCCCGCACCGTAGCTGTCCATCAGAGAGACCCAGTAGGGTCCGGCCTAAAACAAAAACAAAAGACCGCACAAAATTCTAGTCAATTGTATCAGAATGGCTATATTTTAATACTGGAAGGCTACACAATGGGCCAGATTTAGCCCATTCATTGGCTAAACGGGGTAATCCTATACAACAGCACTGCCAAGTTCTCTTCACCAGCCAACAACCAGGCTACGTCACAAGCGACAGTCGATCAGCGGAGTTCTACTGAACACATGCATATGCTAAGGCCGACTGTAATACGTTCTCAATAATGTGTATTTGAATAAAGTGCACATATCCACCAGTATTGGTGCTCAAGGCACTACATCATTATTACCCTGCTCATTGGGCCAATGAAACATTCCAAAGACAATCTCAGCTCCCTGGGGAGTATACAGCTTCAACGCTACCATTTCTGCGCAAAGCAGTTAAAATCAATCACAATAACCATCACAGGTACCCGTTCACTCCTGGGTGGGGAGAAGCAATGAGTGACAAAGTGCCTTGCCCAAGGGCACACGCATCAATTACCCTAGGCAGGACTCGAACCCATTTCCTGCAGAATTACCTCCACACCACGAGGTCACGACACTCACTTAAAGCTTTCATTTTAGCATTCCATGTATAAAATCTTACCCAAATTTGAAGGGTTCCTTGTTTAAAGAGGTTGTGGAATGCTCGAAGACATTTCCGTCATTTTTCGTGTATATGTAGCCTAAGGTGTGATGAAATAAAAACGACTATTGTTTCTGTCGTGAAATGAGTACAAAAGGTACTTTTGAGAGCTGTTTTTCAGGTCCAGTTTCGACCCGAACGTTCAACTGTGTAAAAGTCGTCGTTGCGGGCAGCAAACAAAACACAGTAAATCGTGACGTAATAAACAGGACTCCCGATGCACAGTAGCATACACGAGTCCTGTTTATTACGTCACGATTTACTGTGTTTTGTTTGCTGCCCGCAACGACGACTTTTACACAGTTGCACGTTCGGGTCGAAACTGGACCTGAAAAACAGCTCTCAAAAGTACCTTTTGTACTCATTTCATGACAGAAACAATAGTCGTTTTATTTCATCACACCTTAGGCTACATATTCAGGAAAAATGACGGAAATGTCTTTGAGCATTCCACAACATCTTTAATGGCCTTGGCCATCCAGAGTAAAAATGTCACTCTCCCCCCCCCCCTTAACATTTCCCTTTTTTTAAGGAATCAAAAATTTAGGGTCAATTTCTCTGAAAAAAATTTCTTCTGGACTTCAACCTGATGATGCAGGAGGCAAGTACTTATTATTATTATTATTATTATTCGGCATAAAAACAAAGAAAGAAACAACACAAATCACAAATTACAAAAAACAAAAGGAAAGCTATACTGTATACAGGGTGTCCCCCCCAAAAAATGCTCCACTCTCCTTTTTTTAACAAATTCAAGCACACCTGAATGCATTAATTTTCTTATTATGCATGGTAAGAATGCTATGTGTCTTAGTTGTTATCTACCAAAAAAATTGGATCATCCTATCAATCCACTAGGGACAGAAATGCTTAAATATGAACTCGCCTCCATTTGCCAACTGCGCTGGGGACTCAAATCACCAATTTTAAAATGTCGATTTTTGTCAAGTGTGCTTTTCAAAAATTCTACTTGGTATCTATTATGAAAGACCAGTCATCAGTTGTTGTCAAGCATACAAGAGAAAACCAACCAACCGTGGCATTGTCCATTTACTGGACTTTGACTAAAAATACCTATTTGTAAATCAACCACACGTAACAATTGTGAACAATCAGCCATAGGTGAACAATTGTTACGTGTGGTTGATTTACAAATAGGTATTTTTTAGTCAAAGTCCGATAAATGGACAATGCCATGGTTGGTTGGTTTTCTCTTGTATGCTTGATAACGACTGAGGACTGGTCTTTCATAATAGATACCAAGTAGAATTTTTGAAAAGCACACTTGACAAAAATCGACATTTTAAAATTGGTGATTTGAGTCCCCAGTGCAGTTGGCAAATGGAGGCGAGTTCATATTTAAGCATTTCTGTCCCTAATGGATTGATAGTATGATCCAATTTTTTTGGTAGATATCAACCAAGACACATAGCATTCTTACCATGCATAATAAGAAAATAATGGATGGTTTGATGTTCGGGAAATAAAAGTGGCCCAAACAGTGTTTAATACACGTACAACCGGTAGGTTTGTTTGTTAATCTGTTGACTTTTTTCAACAACGATGTTCGGTACGTTTTGTACATTAAAACTGGGAGCCAAGGATGATGTTTGGTGTAGCCGAATGTTCGGTATAGCAGTGTGCAGTATAGAGGCGTACGTTCCACTGTTTATCAAAATCTATACTTACCCTGGTGATGCAGGTGAAGCCGAGAAGGAAACCGATGGCACAGGCTACCAGCATGACCAGCGGTTTCTTCTTGCGCAGAGTGGGGAACTCATCTACAATAGCTGTCACCACAGTCTCCATGATGGTGAACTGCAGGTCAATCAGACAAAGTCAAAAGTAAAGTCTTATTAATTACACGCTGATTAATGATATGCATCGGGTCAGGTTGACCAGGCAAAACTGACCCGAAACATTAGAGATATAAACCGAATCCAAACCGAAACAGATCTTAGCTCCCTCAAAATGACCCGACCTGACCCGACCAAAAATAAGGTAAAACCGACCCGAACGATCTGGCTTGGACAAAGTGATCACTTTTTTGTTCCTACCCTTACCCACGTTGCTTGGATTCTTTCGCAAAACCATTTTCTCTCACATACTCAGTAGTAGTTTAAAATCGAGAGTAGCTCCGCTTATTGAACAAAGGCATGGTATCACCCTGCGGTATCATGAAAACTGTTACAATCTATCTACATCTATTTCACTGTCAGTCCCGATCCGACTTGAGAAACTAATACCGTGGGAACTTGACGATAGTGTGCACGTTGGCCACACTATAATGGGCTACGGTCACAGTGACTGTCAATAATAATATCTGAATACCTCAACTGTTTCGGTTTTTTTCGGTCCCGACCCAAAAATGTAAATGTAAAACCGAAACCGACCCGACCCAACTGCAAAGATGGACAAACCGACCCGAAGTCGGTTTCGGGTCGGTTTCGGTTCTGCACACCCTTTATGCTGATAATGCCAATCAGACTTTATCTCTGGTTTTCAGTAGTATGAAATAACTGAGAATATTTCTATTCCCCCTGGATGGGATGCCAGTCCATCGCAGGTTATACTCCCCAGCTAATGCCGGTACCCATTTATACTCCTGGGTGGAGATAGGCAAGTGAGGGTAAAATGGCTTGCCCAAGGACACAACATATCAAACCCCTGAAACTGGATGAGAACCCCTGACCCTCTGATCATGAGTCCTGACCCTATAACGTTTGCATGGAGACTTGACAAATAAGACTTGACATGATAGGCAAAGACATTCAAACCAGTTCTAAAGAAACACAAAGGGGTCAGTTATATTGTAGGAATTTTTTTATAGTGGCGATTCTGTTTTGACTTAACCAGTTTGCGCCGGAGGCCATGATAAAATGCCCTGGCTGTTTTTGCACCCAAGCACGGCTGACGGATTAAGACATCAAGATTGTCTTGACTCGCCTTTGGGTGACGTCTAAACACACTGATCCCTCGTGCCTTTTGTACAAACACACAAAGTCTGTGTTGTCTGCGGAGGTGGACCATGTGCTGAGTCGACCCTTGTGTGGGCTGTTGTGCACTGCCTATTGTTGTACAATTTACGCTTCAGTTCACACCCAGAGTTTTGAAGCATATGAGGTTTTGGCGAGAAATATCGTACAAATACTGTTGAAATCACACTTTGTGAATCAGTATTTGTGGCGTTTGATTGTATATCAGAAGTTGGCTGGGAAATTTTGCCTATTGAAAATTTCGAAATTTTGCCTTTTGAAAATGTTGAATTTTTTTGGCAAAAATAAACCTGGTGCAAAGTGGTTAAGGTCCCTGGCCATCCTTAATTCTTGACGATATTTTTTTTGGGTTAGATTGTAAGCTCATACTTGACTGTCCAGACCGAGAGTCAGCAACATGATGAAGAACAAGATGGCCCAGAGAGTGGAGATGGGCAGACGAGCCACTGCCTCAGGATAGGCGATGAAGGCCAGACCAAATCCTGCAAAAGGAAGACATTTTTTTTGTAAAACAATTTTATTTTGCACTGGGAGATACAAACTCAATACCATGTGTTTTGGCCCTACATCACCGTTTTGAGGTGCTCTGGCAGAACGAGACATGTACAACTAAGGCAGAGGTCGAAATGAGAGTTAGTGGGTACTAGGAAAGAAAATAAAAGTCTGCTTACAATGCTGTTTGTTGCACTTTAATTGGACCTTTCGTTGACAACTTATGGCTGTTTAAAGTTCGCATTTATCGACATGTCAGTCAAAAAAGTAAAATACTGAGAAAAATGCCTTCAAAGTTTCGTCTGTTTTGTAGTAGTCACTATGACAGATGCCTAAAGTTTTTCCTCAAAAACACTGTAATTCAAGGATTTTTATATTATTTCTTTAAAATATGTAGTAGACCTATCAAAGACTACAACTATCTATAAATCTGAATATTGAAAAAACATCACCACCTGTGTTTTTTTTTTTCATTTTTCTCCACTCTGGCCTTTGCCCAGTTCTGTCTCATTTTGCAAGAAAACATCACAATTTTGAGTCATTCCGAACCATGTTTTCATCAATTCCTTTGTTTTTCAAACCACAGTCTTCATCTAAGGGCAGAAACTGAGAAGTCTTCACATTAAGTTTTCTCTGTATTTATAATTTTGTCTGTCCATTGTGCTGATTTTATTTTCTGTGATTGTTTGCGCTTTCTAAATTTCTTAAACTCACCTTGATCGACAACTTGATCAACAGTTGTACCCAGCTCATGAGCCATGAATCCCATGATGGAGAAGATGACAAAGCCGGCAAACAGGCTGGTGGCACAGTTCAGGGTGGCCACCAAAACAGAGTCGCTGTTGCAACGAAACATCACATTTTGTAGTCAGTGAAAAGTGCTGAAATCGGTTGAAACATAAATTGACCTATCGCCGTTTGCGAGTTAGCCACGCCCCTTAGACAACCCCATGGAGTTTTTGTACACTAAGGTTGGTTTGTTTCAGATTTTGGGCGTTCTGCGTCCATTTGTCTATCAGGTAATTGGACAATATTTTCACAAGCGATTCTAACGCGATGCTACGGTGATAGGTCAATTATTTGACAACGCATCTTACAGTTTGCTGTATAAAGTACACATTGTGTCTTCAGATTGTCAAAGCAAGGGCGGACCTGGAGAGGTTACCACTGGAGGGGGGGGGGGGGGGCAGGGGGTGTGCCAGGGGCCAGAAGGGCTCCCTCAACTGTTGGTCACTGCACGGGGCGTGTGCCCCCTCCACACAAGTTGTCACTTTTTGAATAGCGCCGAAATCAGCATCCGGAACACGTACGTTCTCATTCAGCCAATTGCAGCTACGCAATGTCACACAATGAACCAACGAATATTAAGCAACAGCACACGTGTGTGCATCTTGTCAACGCTTGTGCGTACCCATTCACAGATTCACCATATTACAAACTAACGGAAATTTCCAAAATGCGTCATTTGACTCATCTTTGGCTATTACCTTTTTTTTTTTTTCAAAATGACAGCACGCCAAAAATAAATTGGTGCCATTACTATATCTTTAAACCAAGTAAGCTTTTTAACAATAATTTTGGTCGGTAATAACTTTTTGGATAGCTGCAAATGATCTACTCTTCCTCTGAGGACCAAAAGGAAAACAACAAATATTCTTACAGGTAGCAGTTGTTGTGGAACTTATTGTAGGAGGCCAAGGTGATGAGACCTCCCCACGCAGCGCTGAGGGAGAAAAAGATCTGGGTAGCAGCGTCCAACCACACCTGGCAATCATGACAACATCATTAAAAATTATTGGTATTCAACAATCTTCAACCGAATTGCTTTTGCAAGTTACAGATTTACATGTGCTAAGAATCACTGGTCATCTTGCAAAAAGGCCCCCAAAAAATGCAACCCTAAAACATTTGCCTTTTAAAAAAGGGATCAGTGGATTTTTATGTTTTCAGATTAAAGCTGAGAGCTTTTTTTTTCTTCAAATACTGAAAAAATCATGAAAATAGCACTTTGGGTTGCTGAGAAAATTCCCTTTTCAAATGTAAAAATGTGCAAGTCCCTAAATCAGTCAATAGACTGTGACCTCCTGTTTTCTGAGCTTTTTGATTATCACCAAATCAAAAGAAGGGTTTTACTCTTTATTTTGTATAAGTGAAAGTGCAAATAAGACCAGAAATGTATACCTGGGGTTCAGCCAAGCGTTCCCACTTGGGGGTGATGAAAAAGAGGACGCCGTCATAGTAGCCGGGAAGAGTGACTCCACGAACCAACAGAATCACCAGCACAACGTAGGGGAAGGTTGCAGTGAAATACACCACCTGAAAATTGAACGAGAATCCAACCAAAATTTGAAATAGATCAAACAATTAAATAATAATTTAGAAGGCTAATCATCCTTACTCACAGCTGGGATGCTGAATTGGAGAGGACGCGGCTACAACGTGGTCGGGCCGCTGGCATGTAAAGGTGCCTATGGCTGCCGGCCACATCGACCCATTAAGACCACGGAGCACAGCCTGAGATCGAAAGTGTATGATTTTTCCGGAGGGAGGAAAATCGGAGGGCCCGGAGAAAAACCCTCGTGGCACAGGAGAGAAGCAACGCACAACTCTACTCATGTGTGATCCACGGCCAGGATTCGAACAGTGGTCACCTTGGTGAGAGGCAAGCGCTTTACGCACCCATGCCACCAGAAAGTAGAACCATGGAGCAAGGGTCAGAAGGAGTCAGAACTCCCCTACTTCAAAGTGATTATGATCGTCACTGCGCTCGAAAGCATCAACAGAAAGCACCTGGCGGCCAGCTTACTCAGTTGCTTAATACCCTATTGAGATCCGTTCTCACCAAAGCTAGAAGAAAGAGTTTGCATTGCTTTGTAGAAAGCACCATGGTACACAGGCGCAGTTGTTGTACATCGCCAAAAATGAATAATTTGAAAGCATTTGTTCGGAGTTGGCTAATACTGGCTCACAATGTGGTCAACATCACTGAAACAATCATTTCATGCTGAACAAAATATGCTCTATACCTTCCGTAGGAAACCTTAAGAAATTTCCCAAAATGTCAAATTTCATAATTGATGTATTACCAATACAAAATTTCAAAAAGACATGATAAAAAGAATTCAATTTATCTTCAAATAACAGGAACAGATAGCGCTTTCAAGGACCAACAACTGCACATCGATAACTTGATTTCATAATTCACATCTAACAACTGCGCAGCTGTTAAAACCTAAAATATTTTTTTCAAAAAAGATGTGACATGCCTTATTATGCAGCATATAGGGAGGTTGTTGGTTGACCAACTACAGAGGCCGTGACGAACATCATGTTCAAATTAAGGCCGTTTGCAGTCGCGCAATGAATGGTCCAGGCTTGCGGTCACAGTGCTTTAGCTATGGACATTTCCGAGGGATTGGAATGTTCACAGTCAAAAATGTAAATCGCCCAAGACTTCAGACTCATCTGTTCCTTGCTCCATTGTGAAACTGACTAGGTTTATGGCTTCTTGTGCCCTTGAGCAAAGACACTGACAAACTGGGGAACTGCCAATAACTGGATGGCTCAGACAGGAGAGCACTGGTATGGTGTTTCAGAGGTCACAGGTTCAAACCCCGCTCCAGCAAATTTCTCTATTCAATTATACAATTGCTATTCAAATTATTTCGAGACTTAGGATCGTGAAGAATGCTTCCAAGAAGACATTGTTTCAATTGCTTTACGTGGTAAACAAAAAGACCAGGGGTTGTATACCTTTCCCGAGGACTTGATTCCCTTGATGAGGCAGAGGTAGATGATGATCCAGGCCAGGAGAAGACAGAGCAGCAGCTGCCAGATGATGGTTCCTGTCTCGCCGATGCTGTCAGACTCCTGAAGGACATTGTACCTACACGACAAAAAGAAATGAAACATGTCGTCACCGACACCACAAACTGACACTCGCGCTACTGGTCCTCAGTCTGTGAAAACTGCATAATCAACAATTTCGGTTTCACGAACTGACACCCAAGCACGTTGCGGCAATACAGCACGGAAAAAAATTATTGGAAAGGTTTGAGACGAATTTAATCAATCTGTCAACCTGTGGGCCAGTGGCGTAGCCAGGAATTTTTCAGTGGGGGGCGCTGGGGGGGGGGGGGGGGGCAGGAACATTTCATGGGGGGCGTCATGTAGATCAATGATAATTTTGGTGAAATTAAGGTCGGTGTCAGTTTGTGAAAATGAAAATGTACGGAGTGCGCGCTAAAAGTGCCGCTCTGTGCCGGGTGTCAGTTCGTGAAAACAAAAATAACACGATTCTGTAAAATATGCGCGTGTGCGACACACTCATGCGCAAGTTCGTGGTAATGTAACAGAGTAAGACTCAGCTCGCCTTGTGAATCTAGACCACAAAGTCTTTGTTTCAAGACAATATTTCGTTGGGTGCCCGGCAGAAGGGCATATGAGCGTCCTGACGCAAAAATCATTTTCAAGAAAATTGCATTGAAAGGTTCCATTGTTCCCCCGCGCGCATTTTGTATCCAATGCTCTCCCACACGTAATATAAATCGTACGAATTTGAAATTTGTCACACGTATGAATCATAAGTTTTGGAACAACTGGTATTAATGTTTAAATTTCATTAAAATGGAGGCAGTTTTTTGCATATGCCCTTTTGCTGGGAACATTTTGGTCATTACGCGCTATTGCATAAGGGCATATGCCCATATGCCCTTCTGCCGGGCATCCGACGATTTAGTCTCACTTAACTTAAGACGGTCGATCAGTCAGACAGGATATAATCTGACTCTTTAGTTCCGGCAATTACTTACAAACAAACCAGGACGACAGCAAGAAAAATATTTCCCACCTATTACAGGTTTTTCCTGCATGGAAAACCCCACAACGAAAAGACATCTTAAAGGGAATATACAACATTTGCAAACATCGAAAAATAAAACTACCAAGTTTTTGCGAAATACCTTAATAGGACGTTGGTAAATGACAGTCTAAAGCATCCTGTAAAATTATGGCACCTGGTATACTGTCATTTTCAAGAAAAGTGGTATTTTTGTATCAATTTCCAACGCTGATCGGCCGATCAGCGTTGGAAACAACTGGCTTTTTTTCAAATACTGGCCCCAATTGACTATTGCACTTGTTTGCAATCGATTACAAACCTATGAACAGGTACGAGCCAGCTAGACTGGTTCCCTGACCTTACAATTCCCCAATGTATGTAAACTGCTCTGTTTCTTCTTATATGGAGTCAGGGAACCAGACTACAGGTAAATGATCGTTTTTCTTGGTTTTTATAGCATTTTCGAACCCAAAACCTCCAAAAAGTCAGTGTAACTATATTTGCTTTATATTTCCAATCCCCCAATTCCATCCATTTCTGAAAATTACAGCAAAAGCAAATGATGTATATTCCCTTTAACTTGAAGATTAATGCTCTACTTTGGTATTTTATTTTAATCCTTAAAAATTGGGTTTTTTACATGATTTTACAAGGTTTTTAAATCATTTTGAATCAATTAGTAACTGCTAGGTCACAATTGTTTATCTCTGGTTACAGTAGCATGAAACGATTGAGAATATTTCTATTCCCCCTGGATGAGATGCTAGTCCATCCCAGGTAACTCCCCAGCTAATGCCGGTACCCATGTATACTCCTGGGTGGAAAGAGACAAGTGGGGCAAAGTGGCTTGCCCAAGGACACAACATATGGTTAGCAGCTAGATTTGAACCCCTGACCCTCTGATCATGAGTCACGAATCCTAACCACTAGGCCACACTTGCCCTCATTTTTTTTTTAGGGTGTAGGGAAGGGATGTATTTTGTTGCCAATCTCGATGACTTTTCTCCACCACTTTAAGACCCTGAATACTTACTTCCAATATTCTTCACTCGGGCGGCTGCGGCTGTCCTTGAAAGGGTCGGTGTAGCCAGAAAGATTGTAACTACCGTCGGCATCTTGTGTGATGTTATACTCTGCCATGACCTCGGCAGTTTGGTTACGAATCAACACGCAACTGGAGAGACAAAGGAAATACACAAAATGAAAAAAAGGAACAACTTGAAATCTAATAAATAGAAAGATTACTTTTTGGGACTTGAGTTGAAGGGCTCTAGCAGGAGCTTGCGACACCGTCTCGGTGTCTTTATCAACTGGCATTACTGAGGCCCTCACGTGACCTGTCACGTGACCTGTCACGTGACCATGCTTGGTCATGTGACAGGAGGCATTCGTACACCTGGGCCAGCTAGTATCCTCCATCTCTGTTCACATGGGGACGGTGCCTGCGCATTTCTACTGCCTCGCAGATTTTGCGTTGCCAGAAGTCATCCTCCCCGGCTAGGCCCGTCGCCAAGAAGGAGGGGGGGGGGGGGCAGGGGGGCCGGGCCCCCCTGACAAGCAACTGGCTCTCCCATTGGCAAAAACCCTGTGGAGTGACCTCCTGGTTTGTTTTGTGGCCCACCTAATGCCCTGAACTGGCGACGGGCCTGTCCCTGACCTGATGATCTTATCACTGTCCTTGGAGATGTTTATTTCCCGGGTTGACCTACTTTCCATGTAATTAATCCAATAATGGGCCAGCAAACAAACTTCTCCGCTCGAATTATAAAACTCAAGTAATCTTTCAAGATGTAATGTATATAATATTTGGACTTTCCAACCCCCCTCAATTTTTTTTTTCAATTTCTATTTTTTTCTGGCAATACAAAAGTTCTTCACTTTTTAATACCGAAATAGATTATGAGCCCATATTTATAGTTACAAAATCAATATATCACAAATTTTGTATTATCTGCAGTCTGGCACTAATTCAGTTCTCGCTGAATTTGTTGGGGATGGAAACTGGTCCACTTGGTAGAGCTGCATGTTTACGCGCAAAAAAAGGGGTTCTTTTTCACGGGGTTGAAGATTTCCCAAAATGGAAATCTGGTTTTCTTGTTAAAATAACACATTCAAGTAGAAAATTTGTTATGAGGAAAAAAAAAGGGCATGGACAATAGGCCCAATCAGTAGCCTTGACCCTACTGAATGCAACAAGATCCAATGAGGGAAATAGAAAAGAAAAGTCGTTAGTTCCGGCTGCATTGCTTCGTGTGCAACTCCGCAGTTTTTACACTTGACTTGTTGCTGAACGTGTTCCTTTTAACGAGCTTATGTTGAATGAAGGGGTTTCAGAAACTCGCCAAAAAAAAAAACCTTTCACCACTGTGTATTGTGGGTTGCCGATCCAACCTACTCACTATTGCTGGGTTTAACTGTTTTTTTTTAACCCCTGGATTCTTTCCAAATGTTTACTTTTTGCCAAAGCGTCTAACTTGGAATGAATGAATTTCACAATAAATATATAACGATCGAGTAATCACGAATGCAACTGGCCAAATCTTGTTGATTTGAACAAATCTTATTCTTACAAGTGGCATTTAAAGGGAATGTACATCATTGGCTTTTGCTGTTATTTTTAAAAAATGAACTATTTGAGGGGTTAGCATAATAGATCAAATATTGTTACACTGACATGTTTGAAGTTTTGTGATCGAAAATGCTGCAAAAGCCAAGAAAAACAAAAACGTTCAAGTAGTCTGGTTCCCTGACTCCACTAAAGATGAAATGGATCAATTTATAGATGCCGGAAAAATTGTTAGGTCAGGGAACCAGTCTAGCTGGCCTGCACCCGTTCATGAACATGTAACCAATAGCAAACACAATTTTGACTGGAAAAAATGGTAAATTTGGAGCAGTAGTTGAAAAATAGTTAGGTTTTTCCAACGGTGGTCGGCCGACCACCGTTGGAAATGTATACAAAAATACCATTTTCTCGAAAATGACTTCACACCAGGTGCCATAATTTTACAGGATGCTTTAGACTGTCATTAACCAACATCCTAGTGAGGTATTTCGTAAAAACTTGGTAGTTTTATTTGTCGATGTTTGCAAATGTTGTATATATTCCCTTTAAAATGCCAATTAAAATGAGAATGATAATGACAGTAAAAATGACACTTATGAAAGGTAGAGTGGACCATTCGCAGCTATCCAAAACGTAACCGATCAAATTATTATTTAAAAGCTGACATGTACTTGGTTTAAAGATAGTGATGACCTAAACTCCCTGTGAAATTATTCCTTCTGGCATGCTGTCATGGCAACCTTTGAGCTGAAATCCAGATCCAGAAAAATTTTCTCGGAATTTACAGCATTCATAGAGCTAAAACTTCATCAGGTAATCACCCACCTAAAGCCTGGTTCATACTTCATGCGAATGCGAAGCAAATTTGACGTCATGAAACATTCGCCCATGCAGTTGAAATGTGTTCAACTTTTGCGAATTCGCAGCGCGAATACTTGCCATGACGTCACAGATTCACGTTCACTTTCGCTTTCGCATGAAGTATGAACCGGGCTTTAAGCACTTTTGTTGCTTCAAACGAGAAAAAAATGCACAATTGACAAATCGGCCATTCAACCTTTAAAGAGACACTGACAATTACGACAAAAATTACACTGAAAATGACAATTCAAATGATAATTCATGTGAAATTATTCCTTCTGGCTTATTATCATGGCAACTTTTGAACTGAAATCGAGATCCATAACAACATTTATAGAGCTAAAACTCCATCAGGTACCGTAAGGGCAAAAAAAAAAGTCTACGGTTTCTGGTATGCGCGCGTGTCGCCGTAGCCATGCGCATCACCAAAATGAAAAAGTTTTTTTTTTTTCAATAAAAAATGTTTCAAAACCGCCAAACTCACTGGTTTGACTGGAATCCTGCTGCCGCACAATTTTAACGTGTTTTTAGATGGGGTTATGATCGAGAATAAACTTTATGTGGCCTCTCTGGACTCCCATATATTTGCACTAAGTTTAGTTGGGCACCATTTGCAGTCATCAGCCGACATTTGAAGCCACAAAAAAAAAAACAGGTAAAAAAAAAAAGCCCTGTCGCCGCACTACTTTTTGGGCAAGCTCCATACCAGAAGCCTAATCACCCACCTTTAGATTGTGAGCACTTTTCTTGATTCAAACCAAAAAAGACACTTAAAAAGACACCTAAAATGACAACAAAAATGACAATTCAAACAACAATGTCACTTACGTGTTGTTCTTGATAACCACACCGCCGGCTCTCAGGCAGTCACCGACGATGTCCGAGCACATGATGGTATTCCAGGCACTGCCGCACCCAATCCACGGCAGCTTGGCGGTGAAGGAGGCAAACATGTAGTACAGCGTGTACATGATGATCACGTTGTAGTAGATGCCCACAAATGAGGAAACTACCAGCATGCCATAGCCAACACCTGCAGAACCGGAAACAATTAACCATTGTCAGGGGTTAGAAAGATCTTTGAAGATTTTACTCCCTGTAAAAATTGTGTTTAATTTCTACATTCACTCAACCAAAAAAGAAAGTCCTCCCTTAAGGCGAAGTAAAAAAAAACATGTTTTTCGTCCCCACCCGCTTCCTTTTTGGAGGCCGCCTGGATTTGTTTAATTATTTTTTATTTTTGAAAAATGCAGTAAAAAAAACACCGAAAAAGTAAAATGCATCTAAAACTGTCCATTGTAGACCAATACAACTCTAAATGACACTGTAAATAGGGTCAGTTCTCTTGTCAAAATTGTCTTTCATTTTAAAAGTGTCTTTGAACAGTGGAAACACCAACGGTTGCAGGAAATTTTAAACTGGCGACCATCTTGAAGCAAATAAAAAATGAAAACAAATGAAAAAAGCCCAGGTTTCTCTTTTTTTTCAAAAACCCGGACGAGAAACATGTTTTTTGTTTTATTCGGCCTAATACTTTTTGGTCTAACTAAAACACTACTGGGCACATCTTGCTCAAATTACGACTGATCAGTACAGAAATTCCTTAGCAATCCAGCCTTACTCTTTGTTTGGCCGAAAACAGTGATAATGTGTATAAAATGATGCAATTTATGACAAATGGTAACGAAAAAAAGTTGCACTTTGGTGTACGTGCAAGGTGAGTGTGAACCACAACTTGCATCGTATACAAAAGTGCAACTGTTTTCGGTATCATTAGTCAAAAATTGCAAAAATTTGTACACATTATCACTGTTTTGGTCCAATTAAAGAGTATGGCTGGATTGCTAAGGAATTTCTGGACTGATTAGTTGTTATTTGAGCGAGAGGTGCCCAGTAGTTTTTGAGTAAGACAAAAAGTATTGGAGGGGGGGGGGACTTTCTTTTTTGGGGGAGTGTATTTAAAAAGTTTGTGTCGGGTACATGTAATGACAGAAATAAACAATATCAATAATAAAATGTTAACACATGAACTGGGTAAAGGCAGAGGGCATTAGATATCAGCAATCAAGAGTTTTGGGATCAGCGTCTGAACATTTCTTTCGCTTTTTAGTAAAAAAAGAAAATCTCTGATACGTTGATAGCATTTGTTGCATTTTGAAAAGAAATTTACTCTTCACATATACTTGTTAATTACTTGTTAATTTAATAAATCAATGTTAATTAACCTGGGCTCTACTACCTACATGCTAATTACATAGCACCAAACAGGTCTTATTTTGCTTTTTAAAAAGATCTCGACATAAGCACCGTCGATATATCGATATTACTCGATTATTCTATATTATTTTGATATTGGTATCGCCAATAGCAATTTTTTAATCATATCAAAATATCGAAATTTTCGATATTGAGGAATTCTATCCAAAATATATAAAATGCGTCAGATTATCGCCAAATAAATCTCCTGTTTGTGCTTTTACTTTGTGTTTAACATTTGCTGTATAATGAAGTGAAAGTCGGCCGCAACTTGTGTCTGTAACTCAAAACATGGCTCCATGCTCAAAATAATAACATTGCAAAATGCCAAGCGGCATCGCTTTGTGCTCTACATTCGCTAGAATTCGCGGGAAAAAAACCCTATTCTGGACAAACTGTCAGTGCTGAGATTTGTTTTAAGAAGTTCGAGCAATATGCCCAAGAAAAAGTCGTGGAAAATACGTCTTCAGGCCAAAAAAAAAAATAAGTTGGTCTCTGGTCAGCGCGCGCGTCGATTTTAATCATGCACGTCAATCTTTTTTTTTTTCAAAAATGTTCCGCGGTAGCTCCAACAGTGCCCTCTATTTCCGCACCTCCTCAATTTTGTTTACCAAAGAGTACCAAGGAATGGGAAATTGCACCAAGGCAAATGATCGAAAGCACCAAGGCAAATTATGGAGGACACCAATGTACATGAGGACACCCAAAAAGCAAAATAGTACCCCACCTTGTATGTGCAATCCAAGCTTGAAGAGAGAAAAAAAAAAAAAGCCGCGTCGCCGCGTCAATTCCGGAACTTTGGTCTGACCAGAGACCGATTTTTTTTTTTTTTGGCCTAACATCGATTATTTTTTTAATGAAGTGTCATCTTTATGGTTTTTAGCTTTTACATGGGTTGATCAATATATCAATTATGCTCGATAATGGGTTTTCGATTTATCGCTTATTGAAACTTCTGATATCGCCGGTGCTTATCCTGCCAGTATCAAAATGTCACTCCCTCTAACTTTTTATATGTGAGGTCAATCCAGTCATAACTCGTAAGCAGTATGCAGGAGTTTCTATTCATTTTACATGTTATTTATGCAGGCTTCATGTACGCAGGACTGCAGAAAAGGTCTTGCCGGGGTTGTAACCGGACAAACAGACAAAGGTATAGGCCTACTCTACATTCACAAATACGGAACCACAGCCAGTGATTGTACAGACTGGTTGGCCTTACAAAACTCTGCCGAGTCACAGCAAGAAGAAATAACACAAAGTGTCAGAGGCGAATTTGCATAAATCCACAATACAGCCTGGACTATCCAATCTTGAGTGTTACGCATGGGCAGCCGTTCCCGACGTGCTCCACACACAATAAAATACCAAAACTTCACTATCAAAACAAGTGATGTATAAAGCAAACAATATAAAGGCAAGAGCAGGAACCATTGGGTACCAGGGGGAAATAATTGAATCAAACCAGGTGACCACAACTGTCTTTTTACACTGGCAGTCGATTGTGCCAAATAACTTTTGCAGAGCTTTGTGCATGCACATATGGAGAGTTTCCTTTCCAAATTCCAACACATCTCGATGAAAACAGGAAACCATTTTATTTCATAAAAGCATTTAATAAAAGCACTTTTATTAAATTTTATTGAGTATACATGGCCGGCATATAAAAAAGCAGTTTCTAAACCACATTTATTGCTTTAGGCCTAAAAAAAGTAGCTATGCTTCGGTTTCCATACCTACCCTATTCTGACAGTCCCTGCCCTAATTTTTTTATGGGAAAAATGAGAAAAAACACCCAAAACCATTCATTTCTACCTTTTACCCTTGACTACATGCAGACATCTCTATATGATCGTACACACAAAAAACTGGCCCCCCAAAAATATTCCCTACCTACCTACCCTATTTTCAAATGCCATGTATTCGGAAGCAGAACTATTTTTTGTGGGGAGGGGCCTTACTGTACGTATTCTTAAATCGTATATAACTTAAGTCGAAACTGACTTTGGACAACCAGGATTGGGCAACATTCTATAAAAAACTTGTGCAAAATAATGTTTTAAAAACAAACTCTTCATATGAACAAACAAGTTAACAACAACCTAATTTGAATAATATCACCCCGGCGCCAAAATTCCATCTTATAATAGTTTATGCGGTACCCGCTGCTATGTACATCATATTTGAACCGGCCAACCGATCCCGTTAGCTCGGTGGTCGAGTGGTAAGACATCTGCACTAGAAAGCAGGAGGTTGTGGGTTCGAGTCCCACCCGAGTGATTTTTTCCAACTTTCACTCGGGAGGTAACACACTGAGTATACAGTGTTTAAAATATATATAAAAAAATGTCGGTGAAGGGCAAAACCTAATTTGAACAAACAAGTTCTGCCTAATTCTCTACTTAGCCCATCAAAATCCACCACTCATATGCACTCTGCTTCACACAATGCTTTGGGACCAAATTCGTTGAAATCCACCAAGTGTTACTGGTGGATTTTGATGGACTTATTTCATATTGGTTATCTGCTAAAATCAACCAAAAAGGGGGGGGGGGGGATTTTGATGGATATAAGGCTAGTCATAAGCCAATATCTATGCCAACAATCAGAGTACACTGTATGATATGTGACCTCCACATTCCACTCAACCGATATAAAAGGGGAAACTTTTTGAGAATTCCATGACAAGGGATTATACGCCCAGGCCACAAATCAACCGTGGAAGAAAACCCTTTCAGATATTATGCTACGGAGCACATGGTGTGCACAAAGCACATAGTTGGCTTTTGGGGGGGGGGGTCCTCACCAGCCTAAAAATAGGCACAGTCATGTGAAACCACATAGTTCACCCCAAAATTTTCAAAGGCTGCCTGTAAAAATCATCACATAGCAAATATGAATTGGTACATGCTACAATATTTACAACTATACCAATGATATGTCACTTTTATACAGAATTATTGCTATAGCAATCTATAGCAGGAGAAATGAAACAGCAATTGTGAGATGACAATTATTAGCTTCATTTCCTTTTTTCTTATTTTTTAATACAAATTACAGTGGAAATTGGATCGCTGATAGGAATTTCTGTTCCCCCTTTTTTCCCATTCAAAATGATGAGTGTCATTTGCAACAACACTTAAACTTCCCTGCATAAATACACCAACAGGCCAAAACTGTAGCATTATATAAAGTTGAATGCAAGTATACCTTTTCTAATGGTACAATTAAATTTCTAATCATTCAGTTTTTGAAAACAAGGCAAGGTGAAGGAAAAAATTTACAAACTTTTTGAAGTCAGTGAAGTTAGTCGATCAATTTAAATTCAGTTTCAAGCAAACCTCCTTTGTGTCCTGAATTATGTGTACTTCTTTTGCAATTATTCTTCATACTAAATATTCAGAACAAAAACTAGACAAAATAAATTTTGCCATACTGATAAAAATTAACAGTTTTGAATTTAACCCTCCTATGCAATACATACATATTCTGAGCAAAGTTGTCCTCTCAGTCAAAAGTTTTCAACAGTTGAGAGTTCCCAGCCTAAATAAAACAGGATTGACTGGCTGTGACTGTTCATGAAACTTGATTTCAGCTATGCTTTGACTGTAGGTGATTGATAAGCCAGCTGTGCCTACCACTTGCTTGAATTTGACTAGTCACAGTGCCTGCTTGAAATATGATCTGACTGTTGGTGACTAGCCTGTGTGTAAAAGGCATGGCAGGGGAAGAGGATTGACTTTTGGACTGTCTGTGACTGTTCAGATAGCCGCAGGGTTTTAAGCTTGACACAAACGGTTACAGCAAGTAACCACCAGGAAACACGGTTGACATTTTCACAAAAACTGACTTTTTTTGTAATCTTTACTGACCTCTGAACATAGGCACAGCTCTCCAACAAGTGATAGGTCCCTGGCTGCAATACTGGCCAAAGCTGACTTCAAGGAAGAACAGAGGCAGGCCAGCGAAGGCCAACATGATGACGTAGGGGATCAGAAAAGCACCTGCAGACAAAAATATAATTCCACTTTACTAAGTTTTAAAAAAATTGTCTTGTCCTTTGTTTTTAACATGTGCTACTCCTATATTATCTGTCAGAATGACCCTTCTGGTGATAGAACAAAATTTTTCTCCAATAGTCTTACCTTCTCCACTGCATTTTTTTCCATCTTAATTGACGATTTTTAATAATATTTAATACTTTTATGTTCATTGTGGAGAGCAATAAAATAATAAGAAATAAAGTTCCAGATTCGAAAGTATACCCATAAGGATTCCTTTATTGGTAGAGGATTTCACAAACTTTTGAACAGTGACTTCTTCATAAAAATAAAAAAATGACAGTGAGTGATAACCAATGATATTGCTAATTAACGTCTATTGTTTTAACTTGACGTAACAATTAAGATGCAATAATTCGTCAGTCGCACCACAAAGTGACATATTGTGTACACAAAGTCCAAAGACAACACGTGTTGCAGCCCGACAAATTTCAACATCTTGAAAAGTCTGTCTTCACTCACCTCCACCATTGCGGAAACACAGGTAGGGGAACCGCCAGACGTTACCCAGGCCCACGGCGTATCCTGTACAGGACAGGAGGAACTCAAACTTGTTGGACCAGTTGCCTCTTTCCTGATTCTCATCGCCTCCGGTGTCTTCATTATCCACCAATTCCACGTTCCCCTGAAAATATTCGTGAAATAGTTACCTTTCTAAAAAAGCCATTCATTTAAAGCCAGAGTCCATCATTTGCAGCCATCCAAAAAGTAACTGGCGTAATTATTGTTGACAAACATACTTGGTTGAAAGATAGTAAGGGGACTAAACTCCCTGTGAAATTATTCTTTCTGGCAAGCTGTCATTTTGAAGAAATCAACCAAAGAAGGTCTTTCCAACGGTGCTTCTTAAAGAAGCACTGTAGGAAATTTAAATTAGTAGTTCGTTTTGTTATTCGGCAAAGCGCGCGCAAGCGTTGGCACAACGCACACGCGCGCGCGGTTGCTTTAACTCGTCAGATCAGTGCGCGACATCGCGTCGCTGTTATCAGCTAATTAGTGAGAACTTGTCTCGGATGCTGATTTCAGGCCCAATTCAAAACATGATTCAGCAACTTTTGATTTGAATCGAGATCCTAGAATTTTGTTCTCAAAATATACAGCTGAAGCTGAGCTGAAACTTCATCAGGTTAGTTGTTCAGCACCCTTCTTTAGATCTTAAGCACTTTTGTTGCTTCAAATGAACAAAATGATGGACTATACCTTTAAATAAGATATATAATTATACTTATAATTGTTTCAGATATTGAACTTCATGAAGTCCGAGGTGTCAGGCAGACCATGTTTTGCACTGGGAAAGAATGTTAGTGTCCAGACAACACTTCTTTGGTTGCGTACAAAGTCTGTGACAAATCGAGTGCATTTTCAAAGTATTTTCTAACAACATTGGAAATGTGTTTCTCAGTCCCAGATTCATGTCTTAATTTTCAACATTTTGCAATGAAGGTCAGTCATTGCACAAATTTTTTTTTATTGAAAATGTTTGCACACTAGCATATATGCAAAAACAATTTGAGTTGTAATTCGGAATATACTTAGATGATATTAGTGTTCAACTGCCTGTGAAATAACTTTATTCCTGATTCCTAGATATGGAGATAGATTTGAGGACCTTTTTAGACGATTTTTCCATGATATTTTAGGTCACCTTCCAAATTTACCAGTGACCAGTACTGACGTTTCAGCATCAATAACGGCGATGTTTTTCACTGACATGACATTATAGAACTTCTTTTTCTGCTAAAATTTAACATTTCAATCATGCCGAGCACATTTTCTAAATAACAGAACGTTAAAAAACATGGGTTTTTTTTGGATGCATTGATTTCACTGCTCTGTTTTTAGCGTCACAATACATAATCGGATTAAATTTACTAAACAAGTCCAGACGCAGAAGCCTTCGCAACCGCAAGGCTGTATGCAGGCCTGGGTTTTCACTCTTAATGTTGGCTCACTAGCATGACTAGTTACACTCTATAAGGAAAAAAAGTAGAAGAGTTTTATAAGGTGATCCAGGAAATTTATATCGGCCTTTGGTTTGGTCCTCTTTTGTGACATTAAACAACCTCTATCTGTTATTTATTAAAACCCAAAGTAAAAGAAAACCACTCAAGCAACTCCATGTGAAATTCCAGAAAACCTCCACAGGTTTTTGTTCAATGACAAAAGACAACTCATCTTAATCCCTCGGCTTGAGCTTGCAGACAGACACAAAACATGGCAGTTTGCGCCATGTCTTTTGAGCCTTGAGGATTTTTTTCCTAACAGATGTACACAATTGGCTACAGATAAAAACGATGTTTATGAGACATGCATTGCTGCCTTGTGTGGTGATGGTAATAATGGATTGTCCTTGTGTACAACTTCTCTGGTGCCGAGTGAATAAAAATGAAATAAATATATTTCATTTGGCAATGAATGTTTAATTTTGTTGCTTATTCAGCTTATTTAGCATTCTACCTGATCGGCAACTGGTTATATCATAAACAAAGAATCCTTGTAAATTATGCAAGGGAGTTAGGGTTTCAATGCAGTGCGGTCCAATGAAATAAAAGTGCTAAATTTGAGATTTAAAAGTGATGAATTTATAAAATAAATATACAATGCCCGACCATCACTGCGATAGGCCAAAAAAAAAAAATATTCGGTCTCTGGTCAGACCAAAGTTCTGGAATTGACGCGGCGATGCGGCGGGTTTTTTTGCTTCAAGCTTGGATTGTACAGACAAGGTGGGGTACTATTTTGCTTTTTTGGTGTCCTCATGTACATTGGTGTCCTCCATAATTTGCCTTGGTGCTCTCGATCATTTGCCTTGGTGCAATTCCCATTCCTTGGTGCTCTTTGGTAAAAAAAAATTGAGGAGGTGTGGCAATAGAGGGCGCTGTTGGAGCTACCGCGGAACATTTTTGAAAGAAAAAAAAGATTGACGCGCATGATTAAAATCGACACGCGCGCTGACCAGAGACCGACTTATTTTTTTTCTTGGCCTTATAAGTGGTGAAAAAGTGGCTGTGGGATTCTGCATTCAACTCAAACAATACGCGCTTGCCTAGTTGGAGCTGTCCAAATAAGTGTCTTATTTGTACATCAGCTTCTGTGGTATTATGCAGAATGCAGGAGTCCCATCATGACAATGGGGTTTGAAGTGCCTGCGAAAATCTGCACAGCAAACACCACCAGAAAGCAGACTTTGGCTTGGGAAAAGAAAGGCTAGTAGTTACCCCCTCCAAAAAAAAAAAAGGTTTCACAGTAAAAGGCCTTCAATGTCTCAACATGTATGAAATCCATGCAACATTATATTCCAATTGCTACAATGTAATTGTATGCCATTGTAGATTCGGTTACACCTCTATGTTCCGACACCCCTATGTTCCGACTGCACATATTCCTATAGCTAACCCTAACCCTAACCGGGAGTAACACAATCTAGGTTGTCGGAACATAGGGGTGTGGGAACATAGAGCAGTCACCGTAGATTCTAGCCAGAAGCTGGAAAATGTTGCAACCTGACGCCACTTCCGCGATTGTGTACAAATCTATGAAGAGTCAAGAAAATTGTTTATTTAAGTATTTCCTAACAAAATTGGAAATGTTTCTCAGTCCTACGTTCGTCTTATCATCATTTTTACAATGAATGACCTTCATTGAGATGATATATTATAAAAGTGGCATCATGTTGCAACATTATTTTCCCACTTTATTCAACTTTAAAATTTTTGAGAGGGGATGACGGATTGCGACAACATTTTGTCATAGTAAGCCCCTATATTAAACCCAAGCATTGCAAATTCTGTTGAAAATGATGGATTTTGCACCGAAAACCTTTTCAAAGGAAACATTCACTACATCAATGGAACACATCAAATCTCAACAAAGTGTTCAGGAATAGAAAACTCCATGGGAGTTTCTAAGATTCCTTGTTCACAACTAAAAGACAAAAGACAACTCCTTAATTCAAGATATGTAAATGAAATTTCATGAAAATGGAATGTCTTGGAATTCATATTTAATTATACACATGTATACACATGGCACACAAGGAACAGATGACATCAAAACACTTGTTTCCCCTTTACACATAACAAGTAATGAAATTTATTTCTTGAAAAAGGTTATTTCATGTATTTAGGCAGACTTCCTGAGGCCCCCCCCCAAAAAAAATCAGGAGTTCTGCTCTGATTACATAGCATTCGAAAATAGGGTAGGTAGGGATTTTTGGGGGGCCAAATTTTGTAGTCAATGGGGAAAGGTAGAAAGATTTTTTTGGGGGTGTTTTTTCTCATTTATCCCATAAAAAAATTAGGGTAGGGGCTGTCAGAAAAGGGTAGGTAGGGAAACCGGAAGCAGAACTAGTTTTCGGGGCCGTAACACATGCATGATATTTCTTCACCAGACTCTTTAAAGCAAAGAAATTGAAGTATATACAAGGAAAAAATGTCGCAACCTGATGCCACTTTTTTTCTTCACATGTCATCTCGGTGAAGGTTAGTCATTGCAAAAATGATGATAAGACATGAATCTGGGACTGAGAAACATTTCCAATTTTGTCAGAAACGACTTTGATAATGCACTTGACTCTCTGTACACTTTGCACACAACCATCGAAGTGGCGTCTGAATACAACATTATTTCCCAATTAAGTTAAGAATCAAGGCCCTACCCCATTTTTCCCCCTATACATGGGCGTCGCGAGGGGGGGGGAGCAAGGGGGGCACTTGCCCCCCCCCCCCCCCGAAAAGCAAAAAAAAAAAAAGAAAAGAAATACAAGCATTTTTTGGCAAAAAAGTTTTTTGCCCCCCTCTAGAAAAAATCCTGGCGACGCCCATGCCCCTATAGTCCTGAGATTGAGACATATTTCCAATTTTGTTTAATAGAAAACACTTCAAAATCTTTTTGACTCTTTGTAGATTTTGTACACAACCGCAAGCGTCTCCGTCTGGGATTTCCATGATTTGCCACTTCATTCTTTCCCTGCATTCTTTTGCATTTGTTTTGGAAAGAGTTCCATACTGGGCCACCACTCATATTCCCTAATAAGTAATACGACCTGAAAAGTACCAAAAGTTGTAAATCTGATGAAGAAATATTATTTAAGGAGTGCAAAAATTCTTAAAATACTTGCAAACTTTTTCTGTCATGGCCCATACACTAAGTGCAGGAGGTCTGAGTGGTGGCCCAGTATGGAATTCTTTCCGAACAAACGGAACAGAAAGCATACATTTTCCCCAAAATGTCAACCTAGACTGAAACACCTTGAAAAACAATCCGTTGCGGTACAACGTAACAATTTACTTAATTCAGTCACCAAAAATTCCTGTAATTATCATAAAGTTATCTTCCATAATCTTCAAGAGAAGTTGATAATGATGCCTACCTGATATTCCTCCTCTAGCTTTCCCATTTTGTCAACTTTTTGAAGTGCGTTGACGATTTTTTTAGCAGAGACTTCCGAGAAAAAGATCAACCGCCTGCGTCGATGCGAAGCCGGGGTTACGAATGAGGTCGTTAAGAAAATGGCGACGCCCCAATTTTTTCCACCGAACTTCCAAAAGCCGGCTCGTTCCACTTGAATGAACAACCCCAAAAGCAAGGCCTTGGTCGCCTCAGGGCCTATTGTCATTCAGATTTTAGGGTTTCTGTCGCTGCCACTGTCTCCGGAATTCGTCACCTACCAGGTGCGGCTGCTATTGTCAGCGTAAATTGCACCGGTGCGTCACTCCATGGAGGGTATGGAGCTAGTATTAAAGGGTAATATAACTTCAAAGAAATGTGGCTAATTTTCAGAAAAAAACATCAACCAGTCACGTTCAGTTTCGTGCAGGATTTTTGACGTACACAACAGGCGTTTTTGCTTTTCACGGTCGATATAATCTGAAACGCCCCTTTTTAAAAATTCATTGTCAAATCTGGTTTTTTTGGTGCAGTTCTTTTCTGTGCTCTTTTTTTCTAATCACAATCAGATCATAACAACCCTCCAATAGGAAACTTTGTTAGATACGTGTAGCCTTTTAGATCATAATTCGAAAAACTAGATCATAATAATCCTCCATTAGGAAACTCTGTTGTAACATTTGATCATAATCCTGCAATATTAGTGGACCAATAGGAAACTTTGTTGTATTAGATTATAAAAATCCTCCAATAGGAAGCTGCTCTGTTTTGATCATAATAATCCTCCAATAGTAGACCAACAGGAAACTTTGTTAAGGTTAGATCATAAAAATCCTCCAATAGGAAACTTTGTTGAAATTTTTTTACCACAACAATCCCCCAATAGGAAAGTTTGTTGTAAAATTTAATCAGAAAAATCCTCCAATATGAAACTTTGATGTAAAATTTGATCATAAAAATCTTCCAATAGAAAACCTAGTTGTAAAATTAGATTATCAAATCATCCAATAGGAACCTTTGTTGCAAAAATTGATAACAATAATCCTCCAATGGGAAATGTTAAATTACAATGCTCTCTGTTTAATATGCAGCATTATGGTGGGTTCTTGGGATTTTATGGATCACAAAGTTTAAAGAACTTAAAAAATAATAATCAAAGAAATGCCACACACTATTTGCTGATTGATATGTTTAATAATTATTCTGTACCTTAAATACATGTTTTCATTCATAAATTAATTCACAATTTTTTTCAAAGGCCTCCGATTAGATAAAAAAAATACACAATAATTGAAAAAAAATCGTACAGACTTACACACTGGTAAACGCTAAGAAATTCACCAAAACCTAATTACAAAAAAGAATTTCACGAAAAAAATAACAAAAACATATTTCAACATATCTAAACAAGGATATGTTGACCATAAAGACGGAGCTACAGAAATCTGTATACATTATAGTGAATAAATGTAATGATGCAAAAAAAAATAGTTTTTATGATCAAAATTCTGATTAACATTATCAAAATTTACAAATAATATTACTTGTGCACTCTACAACTCTTGCTTTGCTGTAATTGGAATGTTTAAAAAAAATACGTTAATGTAAATCTGTGATATTTCTGAGAAAAAAAATAATTACTGATGAAACGTCACGATCCTAAATATACAGAGAAAAACATGAATCATGTTAGAAAGAAGTATGGTTGAGAATAAAATATGATAAAATGTTTTCTAAAATATACAAATATTCATCACCTTTTGCAATTCTAACGAGTATAAAAACACATGTGAAAGGCATAAAATGTATGAAAGATAGAATACTTTGTACATATCCAGGAATAAAAATAGTTTGGTACGAATGCAATGAATATCAAAAAATATTGAGTGCACTGCAGAATAATTGTTTGACAATGATTGTATTTATCAAGACACAAGTGATTTACAATGTTCTCCATGATTAAATTCTGTGAAAGTTACCGAAAGTTTAAAATTAGTGCTTTGGTAATTCAAGGTGCTTAATCTTAATTTTATTTACTTAATTGTTCCGATATTGATTGAAATGAGAATCAAAATATTGTTTACAACATACTATTTAATCAGTCATGAAAACTGGTTATCTCCATTGCTTGTAATAACATTATTTTGTTGAACAGTTCATTATAAAGTCACAGTGAATTTTGCTGCAATAATTATGATAGTGTAGTGAATTTTTAATTTTTTTCATGGGTCCTTTAAAGGTAGAGTGCACCATTTGTAATTTGTGCATTTTTGTTCGTTTGAATCCACAAAAGTTCTCAAAATCTTAAAGCCCGGTTCATACTCGGCGCGAAAGCGAAAACGAACGCGAATTTATGACGTCATGGAAAGTTTTCGCGCTGCGAAATCGCAAAAGTTGAACACATTTCACTCGAGCGAATTTCGCAGTGAATGTTTTCATGACGTCAAATTCGCTTCGCATTCGCATGAATTAAGAACGCATGCTTAGTAACTATAGCCTGATGAAGTCTGAGCTGAGTGAATGCTGTACATTTTGAGAAAGCAGAACAAACATAAACATGCAATATTCAGGATCACGATTGCAATTCCAAGGTTGCCGAGTCATATTTTGAATTGCGCCGTCTCGTGACACAATCCTGAAATCAGCATTTGGGACATGATTCTCATTCAGCCGGCTGTCACCCATTCAAGGATTCTAACAATTGCAAACCAACTACAAATTAGAACGCATGGGGTGGATTCACAGTAATTTCCAAAAGTGTGTCACTTGACACATCTTTAGAAATGCCCGTCTTTTGTGGTTTTCTTCAAAATGACAGCATGCCTGAAGGAATAATTTCACAGAGAGTTTAGCGCCAGTACTATCTTTAAACCAAGTAAGCTTTTTATCAATAATTTGGTCAGTCACTTTTTGGATAGCTGCAAATGATCTACTCTTCCTCTAATTAAAAGTGCATAATTAAATTTTACTCAATTTTAATCTATCACTCAGCATAAGGCATGTCATATGCTCATGCTAAAATATGAGGTAAGAAGTGTAAAACATTGAGGCACATTGTATATAAAATAGTAATATTTGGTACAATATTTTTTTTCTTTTAATCTTAAAATGGGTATGAAAGCAACCCCAGTCATTTGTTCTAATTCATTCAACCGTCAAATAAAAAAAAATAAAAACCAAAAAGGAACTTTCAGAACAGTTTTGGTTTGGTTTCTGTTTTGAAATTTTTTAAAATCCATTCAGCCAATAAAACAAGATGAATACTCAAGTGAATCAATCTTCATTTACAAAAAAAAAAGCAAATTAATTTTCAAATGAAAAAATCTTTCAAATGAAGTCCCTGACGCAATATCTTTAGATTGTGTGAATTAAAAATGTACACTTACCTACTGACAAAAAATGGTTTTAGGTATTTAAAAGACGAACAAAACAACAAGATTGTCCTTTTAGACTACGTTTTGCGTGTCTGCAGTTGTTGAATTATTTGTAATTTTGCTCATTTTCGGGGTTTTAAGTTCATCAGTGCTCAACTAAAGTGAGTTTCAAATTTGAGATGGTTAGCTATTTTCACTGTTAGTTTCTGAATTTGTTGAAGTCAAAGTTACTGTATTTGAATCCAGTTGTCTAAGTAAAATCAATTTCAGCCTCATTTTGGCCTCCATTTTAGGGTTAACCAATTCGTTTTTTTTGTATAATTTATAGATTATCATAAATAATATCGTTGAAAGACTACAGTCTAAAGTTTCTGTTGCAATTTCACTATCTTGCACAATGCTAATGATTCAGTTGTATGAGTCTGACGCTTAAAGTTAATTCTTCTGATGATATTGCAACCTTGAAAACAATATTTTGTGGTCAATGCTTGGAAGACGATGCGAATTATTAATCAGTCTTATTTTAATATAAAATTCAGCCCAACTGCCAGCTACATTTAGCTAATTTTTTTGCGTGGCATCGTTTGTGTTCAAATGCTGAACGACGCCTGACATGTGCCAATATGTTATTTGCAGCCGAAAAAAATTGAGGATTTTAAAAAGCTTCCAAAATGACAAAACTAAACAATTCATACTCGGTGTGAAGCCAACACGAATGCAAATTTGTGACATCAAGGTTTTTTACGCTATGAACTCGCAAAACTTGAATGCATCTAAACACTTGCGAAATTCACAACGAATTTTACGTGGCATTGCTTACCAATTTTACATGAAGTACTAATTAACCGGCCTTAAGACTCGTTGCTACTTCAAAAAATTCAATGAAAGGAATGTTGTATTGTGGAAGACGTCATTTACACATTGATGAGGTTAGTGGTGTGCATTTACGGGTAGTATGGTAACCGGGTATCCGTTCGAAGTAAAGCACGGATACCCGGGTATCCGTAAAAGAAACCCAATCTCAGTATTCAAATCCCGAAAATTGTCTGAGGAGCTTTATAGCTTTACAGTGTAATACAACTTTCCTGAGCGTCATAAACGTGAAATCTGTTTTGGTTTTCCATCTAGCCTGGTTTTTTATTTGGAAAATTCCCCCAAAATGGAATTCCAAACCTTTCTTGTTCATTGTCTGAGATGTTACTAAGTAATTTGTAAAGTCGATTACCGGTACTCGATTCCACAATCTGGAACCAGTTCCTGATATCAGAGGTCAGGTAGGGGCCCACTCAAGTACCCCTTGAGCCAATCTAAGAAATTCTTAGTCCAATATTTTCAGGTGATCAGTTTGAGAATTAGACATTCAAGAAGAGATTTAGACCCACCGATAAGGTAATTCTACCTATATTGGGTTAGTGTATCCATCATTGTCCATGCCAGCAGTGAAGATGACAGCTGGAGGTTTCACTCCGCCGTCATTCTTGCGCCCGTTCAGATCAGCGGTTTGGTTGGCCAGGCGACCGCCGAACGTCGTGCCGTGACTCGTGTGGACTTCATGGGCCTCCAGACGGAACTTGCCGAGTGCTGGGCCCCAGGTTTCACGCGGATTGGACATGATCGTCCAGCGCTGTTGAAGAACAGGTACAAGACGTCTTCATAAGTTGGCGTGAAGTATGTACATGAATGGAACATGTGTGCGCTTCATAAAAGACCATCAAATTCATTGCATGATGCTGCGCCGGCAAAAAATGGCAGCCACTCTTACAAAATCATTGTTTTCTTGGCATAGCTGCCAACTTTTCAAAACCAAAGTTAGTAATCAACCCGCACGGTCATTTTCAACTGCGCATACATTAAAGGGAATATACATCATTTGCTTTTGCTGTAATTTTCAGAAATGGATGGAATTGGGGGGTTGGAAATATATATAGCAAATATAGTTACACTGACTTTTTTGAGGTTTTGGGTTCGAAAATGCAATAAAAACCAAGAAAAACAATCATTTTCCTGTAGTCTGGTTCCCTGACTCCATATAAGAAGAAACAGAGCAGTTTACATACATTGGGGAATTGTAAGGTCAGGGAACCAGTCTAGCTGGCTCGTACCCGTTTATAAGTGTGTAATCGATTGCAAACAAGTGCGATGGTCAATTGGGGCCAGTATTTGAAAAAAAGCCAGTTTTTTTCCAACACTGATGGGCCGATCAGCGTTGGAAATTGATACACAAATACCACTTTTCTTGAAAATGACAGTATACCAGGTGCCATGATTTTACAGGATGCTTTACACTGTCATTCACAAACAGTCCAGCAAGGTATTTCAAAATGATCCGGTAGTTTTATTTTTTGATGTTTGCAAATGTTGTATTTTCCCTTTAACAGTGTATGTACCAATGTGCTCATGATCGTCACTGAAAAGTAGTCAGTACACACATCCACACGCGATAAAAACAAGGTGCACATGCACACACCATGCCACTGAAAAATATTTTTAGTCTGGTCCTCAAGTACTCCACTGCACACACTGCATTGATGTCTATTAGGTGCTTGACAGCATTGCTTATTAGACTTGTCACCAGTCCATCGATTATTGTAAATTAGGGCCTACATTTCGCCAGAAGTTCTCGGGCAAAAACGATACACAACAAGTTTTTTTTTTCTGTTGATCCAGGTTCGATTCCTGCCTGGGCCAAGATTGTAGATTGGGTTTTCAGTCCCTACTTGATTCTGTGGGTTTTCCTCAGAATATTCTTCTGGGGTTTTCCTCCCACATCTAAAAATGTAACTTCTTCATACTGTCTTCTCTTTACTGGGCCCCATGGGAGATCAGTGGATCCCACTGAATGGGCTACCATGATAAAATACGAAATACCTCAAGCGTGTTTTTGTGTAAATTGGTCGTAACTTAGGATAGGGTCCAATTTTATGACCCTGCTTACCGTTAAAAATGAAACCTGCTTACTGTAGCAGAAAGATTGTGCTTACAGTTAGCGTATTTCACGGGTTAGCGAGGAATTTCAGTTCATGCGTATTGTGCTTACAGTGTTAGCTCAGAAATATTTGCTAGCACCATTAATACAAAATGGTAACGGTAAGTGCAAAATTGACCTATCGCCGTTTGCGAGTTAGCCACGCCCCTCAGACACCCCAATGGAATTTTGTAAGTTGACTTGTGTTTGTCTCAAATTTTGCGCCTTCTGTGTCCATTCGTTTATCATGTAATTGGACAATATTTCACAAGCTGCGTTGACTTGTGATTGTCTCAGATTTTGCGCGTTCTGTGTCCATTCGTTTATCATGTAATTGGACAATATTTCACAAGCTGTGTTGACTTGTGATTGTCTCAGATTTTGTGCGTTCTGTGTCTATTCGTTTTTCATGTAATGGGACAATATTTCACAAGCTGCGTTGACGTGATTCTACCGCGATAGGTCAAGAACCGACTACGTACCTCGAATAACGTTCCTGGAGTTACGATGAACTCATAGATCATGATGATAGGAATCCAGACGAGGGAGCTGAGGATCATCATCCAGCCGATGGCGTGGGCCCAGGTAGGGTAGGGTCCGTTGTACTCCGGAGACGTCCAGTTCATCCAATTGAACAGCAAGACAAACTAAAAGGAAACAACGATCGGTTAACACGAGACAGTGCAGTCAGGTTGGCGTAGCGGTACTTTCCTCGCCTTCCATCGCTGTGACCCAGGTTCGAATCCCGCCTGGGCCAATATGTGGATTAGGTTTTCAGTCCCTGCCTGATTCCGTGGGTTTTCCACAGAAAATTTATGGCGTTTTCCACCCACCTCTAAAACTGTAATTTCCTCTCGATGAACCATTTTAAAGTTCTGTTCATGGGTGACAAAAAATGGTAAGGCTTCTTTCAGCAAAACGAAAACAATTCACAAAGGGATGTGTGTGAATTGTTTTCGTTTTGCTGAAAGAACACTTAGCTTGTTTTGTGATCCGTGGACAGAACTTTGCGTTCAAAATTCCGTGCATTGGAAAGCACCTTAGTGATTTTAAGGATTTGAATGATTCTTGTACTAAAAGAAAGCTTAATGACTGGGCTTTCATATCCTAGATTTTGAAAGTGCTACAGGCAAAACTTCATTCACAAGTTGGTCCTGCCATTTGGGTTTCCTTTTTTTGTACTCGCCCTGTATAGGCATTTATTTTTCGTACAGCATAATTGGGAGAATGTTCGGATTGTCCATAACAAAAACGTTAAAAAACTATAAGGCCTCACTCAGTTAAAGGACATTTTTGATCATTTCTTGTGAATAGAAAACATCAAAATGAAAACGACAGGAATGTGGACAACTTACACTGAGCAGTGCCGGAGTGATTGCGCACCAGTTCAGCGGCCACCAGAAGAAAGTCGGGAAGTCCACGTAGCTGTCGCCGATCATGGTCCGGATGTCGTTCTTGAAACGTTTGACGCCATAGAGCCAGCTGATGGCGACGCACTCGGAGAGACCGTAGATAAGCAGTGAGAAACTGGCACCATAGCTGTCCATTAATTCCACCCAGTACGGCCCGGCCTGAAAAGAGAAGGCCGATTTAGAGAATTGGACGGTCAAGTCAGCAATCAGAATAGGTTGGCATTGCTTTTGGAGACATAAATAATTTTGCTGTTGCAGTACCCCCCAAAAAAAGCAACCCGGCACATTTCAAGGGTGAGATTGGGAGAAAATGAAATATCCAAGAAATAATCCACAGAGGGTCCCAGAGCAATGTAGGGTCAACAGAATATGCTTCTACAACTTTGCCTAAAGGCACCCCTAAAATACAAATTTCTTTTGTTCTTTATATATATCTTGATAGGCAAAAACAGGTTTTCAGTAAAACCTCTGCAATTCCAAAGGGATTCTTTATAAATCCTAAAAACAAATTTGAAATCGGATGAAAACCCTGACAAAATATCCACAAATCAGGAAAAAATCCTGACAAGAAAATCCTGAAATCAGGAAAATTTCTTACAGATTTCACGCCTGACATTTGCTTTTTTTTCCCCTTCAAAAATGTGATCAGTGAATTTGAAAGTTTTGGATATCAGAATAAAGCTGAATGTTTTTTTCTTTTCAAATACTGAAACAAAAATCATGAAAACAGCACACTGATTTAGGGGATAGTATTTTGTAGCAAATATTGTTACACCAGTTTAAAGTTTTGTGTTCATGGATGCTAGAAAAACCAAGAATAAAATTCTGTTCTTGTAGTCTGGTTCCCTGACTCTACCTACGAAACGGCCAGCAATTTACGGACATCGGGGAATTGTCTGGTCAGGGAACCAGACTAGCTTGCTTGCACCCGTGCACAGATGTAACAATCATTGTAAACAAAATGTGGACTAACTAAATTCGGATGAATCCGGGGCAGTATTTGAAACGACAGTCTGCTGACCATCGCAGGAAATTCATACAAAAAATTCCACTTTTCTTGAAAATGACAGCACACCACGTGCCATGGCCAAGTTTGCGCAAGGACTATAGTTGACCAATGGTTAACTAACGTTTGCCCGAACTCTGTCTAGTCGACGGTGGTTGACTACGCTAGTCAACTATTTGGAACCAGCCTACTGGGGTTGGTTGCTTCGCTGGTAACCAATAGCTGCGCGCATTCATAACGCTAGCAGAGAGCCAGGATCCAGAAGTTTTGCGATGACATTTTGACCAGCGTTTGACTAGAGACGTTCGCACGTTGCTATCAGTGCGTAGACGTAAGGTACGTCACAAATCAACCACTAGTCGACTAATGGTCCTTGCCCGAACTTGGCCGAAGATTTCACAGGATGCTTGAGACTTATATTCACTTACAGTTAAGTGATGTATTTTCAAAATAATTCGGTACTTTTTTTGTTGATGTTTGCAAATGTTTGTAAGATTTGTAAAAATGATTTGTAAAAACATGAGCCTTGATGAATTAAGACGTACCCTGGTGATGCAAGTGAAGCCGAGTAGGTACCCGATCCCACAGGCTAGGAGCATGATGTACGTCTTCTTCTTGCGGATATGAGGGAACTCATCCACAATGGCAGTAACCACGGTCTCCATGATGGTAAACTATTATAAAAGAGGAAAGAATAAAAACATTTGAATGTTTTTACTTGCACATACAATTTTAAAGGGAATGTACATCATTGGTTTTTGCTTTAATTTTCAGAAATGGAGTATTTGAGGGGTTAGTGTAATATATCAAATATTGTTACACTGACATGTTTGAAGTTTTATGTTTGAAAATGCTGGAAAAACCAAGAAAAACAAAATTGTTCAAGTAGTCTGGTTCCCTGACTCCACTAAAGATGAAATGGATCAATTTATAGTTGCCGGAAAATTGTAAGGCAAGGGAACCAGTCGAGCTGGCCTGCACCCGTTCATGAACATGTAACCAATACCAAACAAAATTTGGACTGAAAAAAAAAAGTAAATTTGGAGCAGTAGTTGAAATATAGTTAGGTTTTTCCAACGGTGGTCGGCCGACCACCGTTGGAAATGTATACAAAAATACCATTTTCTTGAAAATGACTTCACACCAGGTGCTACAATTTTACAGGATGCTTTAGACTCTCATTAACCAACATCCCAGTAAGGTATTTCTTAAAAACTTGGTAGTTTTATTTTTCGATGTTTGCAAATGTTGTATATTCCCTTTAAAATAATAGATGGGATGTCGCAATTCTGAAATCAGAAAGAGCACGTTTGGCCTAAAAGACAAGGGAAAAAACAGACTTTTTATGGTTAAAAATTATGTTAAAGTTACATACCCCTGACTTTCAAAAAAATTGATTTGTCTTCCCCTGATGATTTTTCAATGTATTCTTGTTTTATAAAACGCCTGAATAAATCCCCGTCATCTGATTGGCGGGTCGTTGATCCTAAGTCATTGAATTATTTGTCCCAACTCACTGCGCGGTTACAATGCAAAAATGGAAGTTCTATTCTGCGGTGAAGAGATTTTTCATTGCACGGTCACATGATTGGTGGCTCGGACCAATCAGATGATGAGGATTTATTCAGGTGTTGTATTCGTGCAATGGTAAGAATAATTTTGTGAGGTGAAAGTTGGAAAGTTCCATTCCATGAGGCGAAGTCAAGTTGAATGGAACATTCCATCTGTCATCCAATGAAATTATTCTTACCATTGCACTCACAAAAATTCAGTATTTGTGTATCACAAAACAAATCTTTATTCCAATTTTTTGCACAAATGGGCCCGCCCTGGGATAGCCAACATTTGCCTGGCTTAATAATTCAAATTTTGTGAAGAAATAAGTCAATACTTAAACGTCAGTGGTTGTTTTTTCATTCTGATATCGCGTTCAAAAAGGAATAACTTTTATATTTAATATTTTATATTTTCCAAATTGAAACTCAAAAAAAGCTTGGATAGGCATGTAAAGTTCCGATGACGATCTTCTTGGAAATTCCAATGTAGAGTTTTTTGACATACCTGACTGTCCAGACCGAGAGTCAGCAACATGACGAAGAAGAGGATGGCCCAGAGAGGTGAGATGGGCAGACGAGCCACTGCCTCAGGGTAGGCAATGAAGGCCAGACCGAAACCTAGGAGGTATTAACAAACGGAATTAGCAGTTAAGATTCAAGCCAGTCAAGTAGGCCAGAGAAACTGTCATCAGTTCGGCCAAACGCAGTTTCGAATAAACAAATACTAAATTATTTGAAGATGGCAGTGTTGTAGTCGAGTCACCAATGTCGAGTCCGAGTCCTGAGTCACAAGCCTCGAGTCTGAGTCTTGAGTCACAAGCCTCGAGTCCGAGTCTCGAGTCACAAGCCTCAAATCCGAGTCACGAGTCACAAGCCTCGAGTCCGAGTCTCAAGTCACAAGCCTCGAGTCCGAGTCTCGAGTCACAAGCCTCAAATCCGAGTCACGAGTCACGAGCCTCGAGTCCGAGTCACGAGTCACCAACGTCGAGTCCGAGTCTGAGTCCCGAGTCACAAGCCTGGAGTCCAAGTCTGAGTCTCGAGTAACTAGCCTTGAGTCCGAGTCTCGAGTCACAAGCCTGGAGTCCGAGTCTCGAGTCACAAGTCACTTGGTCTTAGTTGTTCAACAAACTAATCAATTTTAAAAAAATCATTTTTCAATCATCCAAGTTCTGTCTCTTAAGCAAATCCCAGCGTATGTAGTTGACCTTATGTGTGTACATGTTGCTGCACACTTTTTGGCATGACACCGGGCCCTGGTGCTCGTCGAGCAGGCGCTAGCTATGCGTGCGTGGCCCCTGGGTACGATTTTCCGCGGCGACGTGTTTTGTCAATGGAGTAAAAAAGAATGTTACGTTCGTTGCACAAATGACTAATGCTATGTTTTGATCAAAATACGTGACTCGAGTCACGAGTCACCAAGCTCGAGTCCGAGTCATCATGGTCGAGTCCGAGTCTGAGTCATTTTCCAATATGACTCAAGTCCAGTCCAAGTCAAGAAAAATGTGACTCGAGTGCGACTTGTAACGCTATGTTTTTTCTTTTGATAAAAATACGTGACTCGAGTCACCAAGCTCGAGTCCGAGTCATCATGGTCGAGTCCGAGTCCGAGTCATTTTCTAATGTGACTCGAGTGGAGTCCAAATGTGACTCGAGTCCCAGTCCTGGACTCCAGTCCTACAACCTGGAAAAATGGACAACCCTCAAATCGCATGAACAGCAAATGATTGTATATTCCTTTAAATGTCTTATCTTTAATTTACAAACCTTCATCAACGACCTCCCCGACTCCTCGACCCAGCTCGTTAGCCATGAAGCCCATGATGGAGAAGATGACAAAGCCGGCAAAGACGCTGGTGCAGCAGTTGAGGGTGGCTACCAAGACGGCGTCGCTACATCACAAAACAATGAAATCATTTATATCAAGTTCATCTTCAAAGAAAGATCCAGTGATTAAAAAAAAGTCTGAGTTATGTCCAATTCACTTTCTTCAACCTTATCAAACGACCTCTTCGCAAGTCTCGAAAAGCTGTTGGTAAAACCACGAATATTTTAAGGTAATCCGTCAGAAATTATAAAAAATTCTTCAACAATCCATGTCTAAATCAGGGCTGTGGTCAATTCCATCAAAGGTTCATCAAAAGTCCACCACAGGTTCATCAAAAGTCCACCACAAGTCCATCACAAGTCCATCTCAAGACCTTTCACAAGTCCAGTCACAATCAAGTAATAGTTCATGAACATTAACAAAGGAATTTACAATATGAACCGGGTTCGAATCCCACCTGGGCCAATATGTGGGTTAGGTTTTTAGTCCCTGCCTGAGTCCATGGGTTTCCCAACAGAATATTCTGGGGTTTTCCTCCCACCTCTAAAACTGTAATTTCTTCTCGTTGGCTTCTCTCTACAGGTTTCTTCAGGCTTGCGAGCTACATTGCCTAGGGTGCTTTTTTAGGAATCCTTGGTTTCATTACCACAAATAATAATAATAATAACAAATAATTTGAAAAGCATGTGACTTGAAGTGTGTTGGAAGGTCTTATGTTGGACATGTTGGGCTCCGTGCACAAGTACCCCTTCAACGGCCAGAAAAGGAGAGTTGAGGGAGAACTAGACTGGTTCCTGGTCCATCAACTGTGTATTTCGAATGATCCAAAGTTATTGGGGGCGGGAGACCATCGCAAGTTAAATTCGAACGTATTCGCGCTCCGACTACGCCTGACGTTCACGCGTGAAGACGCTATGGCTTAGCTTTGTGCATATTCAGGATAAATAAGTTGTGTGTACCTAACGTGCGAACAGTACATTACGTACACGTGGTGTCCTGTCCACGAGGCTCTCAAAGGTTGTAAAAAACGCGCCCTCTTATGTTGGCGCACGGAGCCCATAGGGATTTGTGATGAATCAACTACAACACTGGTCTCAATACTCACAAGTAGCAGTTGTTGTGGAACTTATTGTAGGAGGATAGTGTGATGAGACCTCCCCACGCCGCACTCAAGGAGTAGAAGATCTGCACTGCTGCATCTAACCATACCTACAAAATCAACAAAAACTCTTTAACTTCTGAAACTGTCTATTTAACTTTATACAGGGTGAGTCAAAAAAAAAAGAAACCAAAATGTCGGGACTATTGTTTTAGTGAAGTTCTGCGTGTAGCACTTTTAAAATCTAGGATATGAAAGCCCAATTCATAAGCTTTCTTCGAGTACAAGAATCATTGAAATCACTTATGTCATTTTCAAGTTACAGAATTTTAAACACAACCACCGTTTTAAAGTTCTGTCAACGGATCACAAAAAAAAGGTGTGCGTTCTTTCAGCAAACAAAAACAATTCACACACATCCCTATGTGATTTGTTTTCCTTTTGCTGAAAGAACACTTACCTTCTTGTGATCTGTGGACAGAACTTTTAAACGGTGGTTGTGTTTAAAATTCCAAAACTTGAAAACTACACAAGTGATTTGAAAGATTCTTGTACTGAAAGAAAGATTATGAATTGGGCTTTCATATCCTAGATTTTGAAAGGGCTACATGCAGTACTTCACTAAAACGATAGTCCCGACATTTGGGTTTTGCTTTTATTGAAAAAAAACCCCTAAATTTTTGAATGAAGTTTTGCCTGTAGCACTTTCAAAATCTAGGAAATGAAAGCCCAGTCATTAAGCTTTCTTTTAGTACAAGAATCATTAAAATCACTAAAATCGTTGGCTTGAGTTGTTTATGTTGGTTGGTTAGTGGGTGGGTGGTGGTTGGTTGATGGACAGTTTACTCGGCCTTATATTGTATTCATGCAACTCCAGTATTAGGCCAAAAAAAGAAAGATTCCGGTTTCTGGTATGCGCGCACGTCGCCGTAGCCATGCGCGTCGGTAAAATGAAAAAGTTTTTTTTTCAATGAAAGATGATGTCTCAAACCGCCAAACTCACTGGTTTGACTGGAATCCTGCTGCTGCACAATTTTAACGTGTTTTTAGATGGGGTTATGATCCAGAATAAGCTTTATGTGGCCTCTCTGGACTCCCATATATTTGCACGAAGTTTAGTCAGGCACTATTTGCAGTCATCAGCCGACATTTGAAGCAAAAAAGAACAGGAAAAAAAAAAAAAGCCGCTTCCCCGCACCACTTTTTGGGCAAGCTCTATACCAGAAACCGGAGACTCATTTTTTTTGGCCTTACAGCTTTGCTTTCGCAGACCGGTTTTGATAACACTGATGCGCATGCGTGTAATTTGCATATTAGAACACGCCCCATTTGTTTTCTGTACTCCGATGCACCGGTACGGCCTGGGTGTGCGCACGGAAGGTGCCGTAAACTGTCTTCACACGTTACCTGGCCGCCATTGGTTGTACCACTTGGTACTTGTTTCTCTTACCTGTGGATTTGCTAATGTCTCCCATCTGGGAGTGATGAAGAACAGAACACCGTCAAAATATCCCGGGAGCGTCACTCCGCGTACCAACAAGATGACCAGAACAAGATAGGGAAACGTCGCTGTGAAATACACCACCTACGAATCGGGGTTTAAAAAAAAAATATGCAGTTGAAACTCAGTAATACACTATGCAGGGTGGATATAAAAAAAACCGAAACCAAGATATTATTGCTAATTGCTATTGTAAAACGTTCAGTCAGTAATATTTCTGCAAATATGTGAGTATTTTTTCGCATGTTGTCACTGACGATACAAATTTTAATCTGTGCTGATCTACGGAGTCAAGAAACTTGGTTGGGATAATAATTAGGAGCTGGACGGGAATTTTCCCACGTTTTCCCCAGATTTTTTACCCGCCCGTAATCAGGGGATATATAGCCACATATTTTCTTGATGTCACAAGATATGTGCGAATTCTCTGTGATCACTTAATTCACCTCACAGTAAAGCCTGTTAGCGATGTTGTTTCACACTGTATGTAGTTGTCATAGTTTTACAATATTTATAATAGTTGCTTAACAATCACGCATTAATCCCATATACTTTGATTTTATTGCAGATGGTAAAAAAAAAGGAACCCAAATATTAGGTTTAATATTTTTTTTTTTTTTTAACTAAACCTGTATTGTATTGTGTTTGTAATGTTGTATTCGTACATATGTGTATTTATTTGTAGTATATGTAGGGCCCCAACGGAAACCAGTTTTAAACTGTTTGGGAATACCCTGGACACACAAATTCATATCTCCTTGCCGAAAATACCATCTTCTAAAGATTTGCTCAGCACTAAGTTCAGCGTAGTAGCGCCGCAAGATTTCCCTTCAGCAATAAGGAGCTAGCCTACCTTGCCAGACGACTTGACGCCTTTGAAGAGACACAGGAAGATGATGATCCAGGCCAGTAGAAGGCAGAGAGCCAGCTGCCACTGGACCTCTCCGGGCTCCCCGATGGAATCGGCCTCCTTCAGGACCTGGAACCTGAAAAGTGACGAGTGTTTAGTCTTTAGGCAGGTTTAGTATCGGTGCAAATTTCCCATCATGTTTGAGTACAGTGGAACGCCGCTTTAACAAACATCGCAAGATCCACATAAATTGTAGAACGATTTTAAGCTGGCGGTGCTGTGGTACTCACTTTTCAATAAATTGCGCCCTTCAGAACTTCACCCTGCACGCGCTGGCTTACTGAAAGACAACTTTAACACGTGCCGACTATTGAATAATGTGATGTTGGGTGCCATGGCTTAGTTGTTAAGGGAATTGGTTTCTTGGTTGGTTCTTCTCCTTAGGACTCCGTGTAGGGGTTTCAACATAAAGCCAGAAACACCGGGGCAAACCCCTTCTCTTAGCTATAAGTGTTACTAGGTTCTTTTATGTGCATTGGATTTAGTGGTCTGAAAGCAACACATTGTGGGTTCGAGTCCAGCTTGGGGTCATGGTGTGTGTGCCCTTGGGCAACACATTGTGGGTTCAAGTCCAGCTTGGAGTCATGGTGCATGTGCCCTTGGGCAAGGCACTTTGTCACTCATTGCTTCTCTCCACCCAGGAGTAAATGGGTACCTGTGAGGGCAGAGATGGTTAAAGCGATTGAATGAGCTTCCTTGCGCCTAACAGGCAGCATCGAGCTGTATACTCCCCAGGGAGCTGAGATATCTTTGGAATGTTTCATGGGCCCAATGAGCAGGGTAATAATAATGTAGCGCCTTGAGCACCAATACTGGTGGATACGTGCACTTTATAAATACACATTATCATTATTATTATTATTAATGCTGCTGCCATCCCGGATAATTAATATAAAAGAGAAAAGACAAAATATCAGGGACAAAAATTTGTCTTACTTCCAGTACTCCTCGGAAGCTGGTCTTCTCATCTTCCGGAACGGGTCTGTGTATAACGACAGATTATAGCCGCCGTAGTTACCGGTGACGTTGTACATCTCTCGCTCGGCCAACGTTAAGTTACTTAACCGCACACATCTGGAAACACAATTTCAAATAAAAACACTTGTTCACAAGAACATTAAATTTTGACAGAGTAGGGTATTCTAGGTATGTTGTGTCCTTGGGCAAGCCACTTTACTCCAACCAAATTAAGAAGGAAAAACTGCGGGTTAAGTTTTCTTCTCACGTGTTATTGAAGTTGACAATTCCTTTGTTATCTAGACAGTCTTTGACGATATTGGCGCAGAGTCGAGTATTCTCGGTTTGTTGTGTCCTTGGGCAAGCCACTTTACTCCAACCAAACTAAGAAGTAAAACTGTGGGTTAAGTTTTCTACTCACGTGTTATTGAAAGTGATAATTCCTTTGTTATCTAGACAGTCTTTGACGATATCGGCGCAGAGTCCTGTATTCCAAGTCTGGCCGCACCCCACCCAGGGTAGAACGGACGTGAAGGAGGCAAACATGTAGTACAGCGTGTACATGATAATCACGTTGTAGTAAATGCCTACATAGGCTGAGACTATCATCATGCCGTAACCGACCCCTGGGAAAGCGGAGAAAAAAGTAGAAAAATTAAATAATATTATTGATTTCTAGAATAACGCTCATGTCCGTCATGAAGTGACGCTCCTGACGCGCTATTATAACCCTGGCTTTAGCGCGGCTGCCATTACGGCGCTCAAGCATTGAAGGAATTTCTTCGTACCAGGTACCCATTTACTACACCTGGGTGGAGAGAGGCAGTTGTAGTAAAGTGCCTTGCCCAAGAGCACAAGCACCATGTTCCCACGGCCAGGATTCGAACCCATGTACCACGGCACACGAGTCGAACACCGTAACCATTGGACCACAGCACCCCACTGGTTCCAAACCTTATGAACAGATCCCTCATTACAAACAGTTTGTACATGGCGAGTCGCAACATAAACAGCAGTATTAAACTTCATTAAGTCAGTTATTGATTACGTGAAGTGCGTGTGGAACGGTTTTTGTCGCAGCAATTGCGTTTATCCCTTGCATGTGTGTATACGCCGTGTGTGTCAGTACAAGTCTACCATCGCCTGATCGCGCGGGCGCGCGCGCATTGAGTTGTTACTTTGTAACAACACAGTGGTGGAGCGTAGCAAAATGATGTTCGCCGTATTTTATGGCGGCCAAAGGACTGTTGAGTAGACAAATTTGTTTGGTCCTTGGTACGGGGTATTAGTTTTACCAACTGCATTGAATGACCGATCACTAAATGAAGCTTACAAAATCCTCTTTACAGTGCCAAGTGTGCATTTATTACTCGAAGTAACGGTGGTCATGAATCCGGAGGTCATGAATCCTGGAACTTTCAGTGCAGTACGCACACTGCGGTATCCCGCCGGTCACGCTGTCAATTACATGCAAATCTCCATTAGTCAAAATGTGCGTGTTGTCACAAGTAGGGAAATGTACCAGGTACGGATGTTTAGTTGTTCATTTTGTAAAACTTTGCCTCCAGAATGTTTAAGTAATATATCTTCTAGTTTAAACTCGGTGTGCATTAATCTGAAAGTCTTGGAAACAGCCACGAGGCCGTCTTTTTCTTTGCTTTGTTTAGAATCGCTATGGAGTAGAGCGCGTCGTGTTCATGCCACTACAAGTACACGCGTGTGGTCGTCTATGGAAGATGCGACTGAACTGTTTGTAATGTTGCACGGTGGGCCAAAATGAGGGCAGTTTTTGATATTTACACTCAGTGACATTGAAAGCAAGAAGTGTCCACTCGTAGGCACTTCACAGGAGAAAAGACCTGTCCTAAGAATTTTTATGAGGGAATCAATATGTATGTGCTTGGCCGGCTTTAAACAAGTACGTTGAAAAGGTATACGGCAGTGGCGCACCCAAGATTTGGCTTCGGGGGGCTCACAATTTTTTTGTCAAATTTGTTAGAATTTTGCCGAAACTTTTTGTCTGCAGAAAAAAATTTGGGTTTTTTTTTTTGGGGGGGGGGGGGGGGTTGGGGTTGGACTATTTTGACGATGGTGACGCCACTTACACCCCGATTATACTGAAAATAGGCCACATACATGTCACCAAGGTCAAAATCATGGGACTAAAAAAGAAAAAAGAAAATTGATAAACTCTTGGGGGGGGGGGGGCTCAAGCCCTAAAAGTGCTCTATTTTGCAATGGAGTGTAGGCGTCGTTTTTCAAAATGGCGATGATCATCTTCGGATGGAAATTTCTCCTAAAAGTCATCAGTTGACCCCCAAAAAATTGAAAAGAAAATAAAAGATGATGAAATTAGCTTTAAATTGATGTGCGTCTCCAATACCTTGGAGAGTTGTGAGTATTTCTTTCCGAGTTTTTGAAGTGGGGACAATTATCATTGGGGTCTAGGGCAGTTTATTTACTGGTCTGCAACTTTTGGGGGATAAAATTAGTGAATTCAGTCCTGTACGAAGACTAACCCAACCCCGTTCTTTACCTCATGCTCAATCCCTTCCTAGCAACACGATCCCTAGTTCAGTACGCAGCGCCCAGTGCGTCACTGCTGAAGCACTTGTGACATAGGTTGCTCATAGCACGACACACCCTGGCACCAATAAAACAACTCCCAAAAAGCTGTACAAACAAAACCTTTTTATATTGAATTCCCTCACTATAAAACTAACTTTAACAACAAAAGTTATGACAGCGGCCTAGTTTACATCAAACATGGGCCAAGAAGTTTTCTTTATAACAACCTTATTCCACCAGTCAATATTATGTGGTCAATAATAAAGGTCGCACCTGCATATCTGAAGCCTGGTCAATATTGGCAGGGCAAATATGAAGTCCCTATGATGACACCAGTCATAAAATAGTGAAGTTCTCCGTTTATTGGTTTAATAAGCTCGTGCTTGTGTGGGTACAGGGTATAGGTTTATGGTTGGCAGTGCCTTGCCAAACAAATGCAACAATGAATTGAAATTTACTTTGCCTTGGTCACTAACACACCTTTTTAACCCTAACCCCCTAGACCCTGTTGAAGCCACCTCTCATGGGTGACAATCGCAGCCTCTCCCGCGTAGCGGGCGAGGCGAAGCCTCACAGGCTACAGGGCGAGTCCAAAAAAGCAGAACCCAAACCCCCAAAATTATATTTCATATTAAAAAAAATGTGTAGCACCAAACATAATAATGATTGGAAATCCATTTCATCTGCTACTTTTAGATGAAAACAATTACTGAAATTGCTCAATCCGTTCGAAGAAAACCATCATTTAAATGCAATGACCCTAAAATCTCTTTCGTCCAAAAATGCAATTTCAAGAATCATCGCCACAATTGTCTTCAAACATCACCAGCGATTAAATCTCAGTTTAAAAGTTCAAAATATTCAAGAAAGTCTCTTTGAAGGCCCGTCTTTTAGAAAAAAATGGATTTTATAAAATCATACTGTTTGCCTAACCAGGGTCGTTAATAAAGATATTGTGCACTACAGTTGTTGGATCAAGTATTCTGTGTCATTTTCTTTGTTGTTCCAAACAGTCAGAAAACAGGGTGAGTAAAAAAAACCGAAACCCAAATGGCGTGCGTTCTTTCATCAAAACGAAAACAATTCACACACTTCCCTATGTGATTTGATTCCGTTTTGCTGAAAGAACACTGATTTTTTTGTGTGATCCATGGACAGAACCTTAAAACAGTGGTTGTGTTTAAAATTCCTTAACTTGAAATGTACATAAGTGATTGGAATGATTCTTGTACTAAAAGAAAGCTTATAAATTGGGCTTTCATATCCTAGATTTTGAAAGTGCTACATGCAGAACTTCACTCAAAATATGGTCCCGACATTTGGGTTTCGTTTTCTTTTACTCACCCTGTACACAATAAACTGCTTTTTTTTTTGACGAAACAGGTTTAAGGGTCATGGAGTTTAAAGATGATATTCTTTGAACGGATTGAGCAATTTCAGTAATTTTCTCATGTTAAAGTAGAGCGCTTTCCAGTCATTATTATGTTACATATTTTGTAAAATATGAAATATATTTTTGGGGGGTTGGCGTCGGCTTTTTTTTTGGCTCACCCTGTATTTACAGCGTGTTTGAGCAAACTATAACCATGGAGAAATTGCGCCATTAAGTTACCAAAGAAATATGCAGTCAAAGCAAACAGACATCAAAAAAGGCTCAGTCTACATGTGATATCCTGACCACATGTTCTATTCAACATCATGTTATGAATAGCCCACACACAGTTTACATCCGAAGCATTCAACAAACAACCCAGTCATGGTAATTTAGCCAATCACAATTGGTGTGTACGGGAGGTTTATTATACCGGTAGCGTTGCTGCATGCATGTCAATTGTATTAGCACAAACAAAATGAAAGCAATGTGTACATGCATTGGGCAAGTATTATGTTCAAGCTGCAGCTGTGGCGTAGACTAGTATCGACCCTGTGTGATGTTTTATACAACACAGTTTTGCTCTTGAATATGTTTAAAACACTGTGATCAAAAACCTATTCCCAACTCCCCCCCCCCCCCCTCCCCCTTCCCTAGTCTATCACCTATTATCCACGGAGCCAAGTTTCCTGTGTAACGTCTGGTATGTCAAAGCATGCAGTTTTATGCGATCTCGCGCCTCAGCCAATCGGAGTCAACTTTACTAAATCATAACGTCATTTCATTCCCAAATCAGGACTAGAAATGTGATTGGTCAAATAATGAAAGGTTTGCGGAAACACCATGTGCGAATAATTTCTCAACTAAGAGAATGGTTCTCAAAAGAACCAGAGGTTTAAACTCGACGTTCCGGTAAGTATGCTCTGACCGTCTTCAGGAGAGTGATTGGTCAAATTGAATGCAGTGTTTTGTAATACAACAACAGCCGGGCGCGTATCTCGTAACATGATACACAGCGCGAGACCATGCACAGCCTTTGTTGCTGATTGGTCAAAATCTAGAGAGCAAGACACAGTTGTCTTGCATAATCAATCAGCAAATCTGCTCAACGACACCTTCCCTGGGCATCCCACAAATATTACAATGAAATTAATATGCTGAATCGATTGGTAGCTCCCTCCCTCACCGACAAATATACCTTTAGAATTGGAACGCCTTGATCTCATATGAGGCGTTTTGGCAAAATGAGACAGAACTGGGCGGAGGTTTAAATCGGGGTTTGCAAATGAGGAAAGTGAATAAACTGCTCCCAACAATACTGTTTGTTGCACTTCGATCGGACATTCCGTTGACAAGTTGTGGCTGTTTAAAGTTCACATTTGTCAACATGTCAAAATGTAAAATACTGAGAAAAAGGCCTTTAAAGTTTCGAGTTTCATGTTTGTCAGTAACAACAATGTCAATTGCTTTTCCTTAAAACTTTTATTGCACAATTCTTATACCACAAGTATTTAAAAATATATGTACAGTTGACATAATCGAAGATTACAAAATCGATAAAAGTTGAAAATCCAAAAAAAGTAACACCTGTTGATTCTTTTTTAAATTTTTCTCCACTACAGCCTATGTATGCCCAGTTCTCGTTTTGCCAGAAAGCCACACATTTAATGATTCTAAATTCAGAGTTTGATCATCACATGACAAAAATTAATCGCATTTGCCAGATATCCTCATTTTGTAAAGAAACATAACAGGATCCAAAAAGTAAGAATCACCCATCATGACCAATGTGAAAGCTCACTTTGAACTGAAGTTCTAAATGTATAGTTTTGCATCTACATTTAAAGTATATGTCACGTCCGTAGTTACGTTGACACAATGGTTCTTTTCTTGCCTTCCACCGCTGTGACCCGGGTTTGAATCCCACCTGGGCCACATGTGGATTTGGTTTTCAGTGCCTACCTGATTCTGTGGGTTTCCCCAGAATATTCTTCTGGGCTTTTCCTCCCACTTCTAAAACTGTAGTTTCTTTTCATTGTCTTCTCTCTACAGGTTTCTTCAGGCTTGCAAGCTACAGTGCTTACGGCGCTTTTGAAGAAATCCTTGGTTTCATTACCAGAAATAAATTATTATAACATACCTCTGAACATTGGGACCGCCCTCCAGCAAGAGATGGGCCCTAGACTGCAGTACTGGCCAAAACTGACTTCAAGGAAGAACAGAGGCAGGCCGGCGAAGGCCAACATGATGATATAAGGGATCAAGAAAGCACCTGCAGACAGAATATTAAAAAAAGTAGGAAAACATAATTAATTATGTGGGATCACTGTAACTAGGCCTGTAGCTGGAAAAGATCCACGCCCCCTGCTCAACAAAAAACTTTGATTTTTTTTTTTCTAACAAAATTTTTTTTTTACCAAAAAACCAAAATATTGTCAGTTTTCCGTTTATATTCGAATTTTGCAAAGAAATAATTAGACATCAGCGGATTGTTTTGGTTTGCTGTCTCATTCAAAAGTGAATCATTTTATATTATTAGAAAAGACAATTAAAAAAACCCTTTTTTTTACTGAAAATACAACGGGGAATACATCTTTTATAAATAACAGAATCTTTGTACAAATTCACTGTGAAATTGGGCAAGGCCCGGTCTAGAAACCCACCTCCTCCATTGCGATAGCACAGGTAAGGGAACCGCCACACGTTCCCCAGACCGACGGCGTATCCCGTGCAGGACAGTAGGAACTCAAACTTGTTGCCCCAATTGCCTCGCTCTTCATTCTCATCTCCGCTTTCGCTTTCTTCTGGCTCGACCAGTTCCACTGTACTCTGCGTAAGGAAAAACAACAAAATGTAAAACCTAGTGAATTTAAAAAAATCTTATTGAATTTTAAAAAGTCTCAGCGAATTGTAAACTATACAATGAAATTCAGTATGTTTAAAGTCAGAGGAATCAAAAGTTCCAAATTGACAATAACACTCGCATACATATTTTGAAAAATCAAACGTATTTCGTGGAATTTATGACCAGGCTTAGCACTTACTTTACATTCCATTCTGACGTCTTTCAAAGAACACAAAATGAAGAAATCTTTTTATATGTAGAGCTGATTTTGTTTTGTAGACTTCAGAATATTTCTTAGCAAAAAAAATGCAAAAATGTTTTAGAGTTTTGTTCATTGTCCAAAAAATAAAATAACATCTGTTTAAAAATTTGAATATTAATTTGTGTAGTATTGGGTATCAGAAAATCTAACATTCTCATGACATGCGACCCAGGTACATATCTTGGGTTAGATTTACTTTAAAGCCAAAAAGGTTTAAAAAAAAAAAACTATGGGGGAAATTATTTAATTTTCCCCTAATTTTAACTAAAGTCGTAAACTGCGGTCACTTTGAGTATGACACATATCACATGCATGGAAAAGCGGATACAACAACTCCAATGTGTCACATTTGTGATAAAGTTGCTGATCACTATTGTGCAAAACTTTACAAACATACAAAACAAACAAGTCTAGCTGCTGGGGGAAAATCACAATTTCCCCGTTACCCCGTAATGACACACAAAATAAACTGATTTATAAGACATTTGAGAGATTTTTCAGCAGAAGAAAAAAAAAGAGTTGTATCCTGAACTTGCCGAGCCTGTTCAAGGAAGTGTTTGAACAACTATAAGCTTGAGTGTACATTAAGATAATTATCGTTATATGTAAATACGCACAGTACTGATTGGGACAAAGTTGTCAGATATCAAATGCAAACAGACATGAATGCATCCGCGTCCTGATTATGATTAATCACCATAACTTTTAGACATCAGCTTTTTCCTTTGGATATTAAAGGTGGTAATGACTTGTACTTAGTCGTAGGAGGAGTAAAATCCGGTTCACATTCCGCCAAGTGAACGAAGACAGGACAGAGGAATAATGCATGCTGGGATATGCTGTCACGTGGAACGGATATTAACATGAACGAATGGAGTGGGCATTGAAACTTGTAATGACTTGCATCAGACAGCAAATCCGGTAGATAGAAGATAAATAAAATATAAACAAAACAAACAAACAAACAATCAATGGCAAGTGAACAGACAGATATTGAGCAATGCATTCTGGGATACATTCCTAAACGACCAGTTTCTAGGTGATTGAAAAGTATTGAACAACATATCACGGAATCCAAAACTCTCCGACAGACTTCAGTTAGACAGAGAACTACATTTTATGCAATAGTTAATCCGAAAAATAATTGCTGGAAGAACAGGAAGTAAGATACTGGTACATGAAAATTAGGGATGGCCAATCATTACCAATGTGCAAAATATTGGATATAAAGCTGACAAAAATATTCTGTTATACAAGGTGATCCCCCCCCCCCAAAAAATGTAACCTAAAACATTTGCCTTTTCAAAAAAAAGGGATTGGTGGATATTTATTACATGTATGTTTTGGGTATCGGATTAAAGCTGAGAGCTTTTTCTTTCAAATACTGAAAAACAATCATGAAAATAGCACTTTGGGTTGCTGGGAAATGCCAATTATGGAAAAGTAGTCATTTTTCATCCTGTACACAAACACTTCAAACAGTGAAACATTTTACTGTAAGCCTACTGTGCAATTATCCTTCATGTCTTTAATATTTGGACATATTTATGATGCTGAAAAGGTTTGAAATAGGACTAAAACGGATGAGATACCTGTTCTGTTGGAAAATAAAAAGTATTTCCATCAAAATCATTTGTACTCTTCTCATATTATGTGCCATGTTGTTTGTAAGAGGACATGCTCAAATAGGTACAGTGAAAATCCCTTTTACTGTGGCATTTTTTTTGTCTAGATAGGATGAAAAATGACTACTTTTACATAATTGGCATTTTTTCGGCAACCCAAAGTGCTGTTTTCATGATTGTTTTAGTATTTATACTATTTAAAAAGAAAAAGTTCTCAACTTTAATCTGATACCTGAAATATAAAAATCCACCGACCCCTTTTTATAAAAGGCAAATGTTTTAAGGTTGCATTTTTCGGGGGTCACCCTCTAAACAAAATGTTCAATCGTAGTCTCTGCAATACGAAAGAGTCCCACATAATAACTGAACCATGAACACGCATATTTCAGTATAAAGGTCTAGATCAGTCAAACGCAGTTCACGAGTTGAGCCCTGATAAATGCACAAATCCTACTGCATAATGGCGGCCATTATGACAAAATATTTTGGATATGCATTGTTATTTTTCTGACACAGTGGCAGTTACGAATAGCGCCATATCGAACGAGACACACTGCCTGACCTAGTCAAGCTACCTGTATAGATATTTTTATTGTTAATGTGTATAGGCCTACTTCCCTTTCATATCACAAAACTCAGTTTGTTATTTGTTAGCTGTCACAATGCAGTACAAATTTTGCCTCAATTTTTTTTTCCAGGACACTTTTGCGCAACTGCTAAAAATATGCACGTTGTTGCAGGTGGCATATGTACAGTGGTCCTTACTGAAAAATATATGGTTTTATGGGGTCATAAAAGAGAACTCGTTAGAATAAAAGATAGCATATGTATGCACAGGGCACTATCACATGTAAATATTGCTACTGTAGGAAAAATAGCAGGGGCATGTGAAATTCATCTAAAGGAATGTCCCAGTATAAAAACTTAATTAAAAAAACGGCCTCAAAAATGTACCAATGCGGTGTAAAAAGCATCTGAGGATCGTACAATTCTTTGGCAATCATCCAACTCTGAGTTTAAAGGAATTAAAGTCTGTCACGAGCCAATATGGCCCATCAGGCCAGCGTTTATCTCCAGTTTCAGTAGCATGAAACAACTGAGAATATTTCTATCCCCCCCTGGATGGGATGCTAGTCCATCACAGGTTACTCCCCAGCTAATGCCGGTACCCATTTATACTCCTGGGTGGAGAGAGGCAAGTGGGGGTGAAGTGGCTTGCCCAAGGACACAGCATGTGGCCAGCGGCGGGATTCGAACCCCTGACCCTCTGATCCCAAGTCACGAACCCTAACCACTAGGCCACGCTCCCCCACAAAACTAGAGACAAAACTGGCCTCAAATGATGTACCAATTACGCAGCGAACCAATTCGAAATCCTCCAAAATCCTTTTTGCAAATTGGAGGAATTTGCAGGATTGAGGTTACATGGCAAAAGTGCGTAGCTGATTTCGGAGGACGCACTATGTCAAGGTCTTAGGCCAGACCTGGTGTTGTTTATGTTCTGCCGTGCATAAATTTAGGCCTATATTATACTTGAAATCCTCCGCACTGCTCCAAGATGCCACTGCCTCTGCCTCAGCCCATTGACAGGCATAGCCGGAAGATTTTGCAGGATTCAGGCAGTGGTCACCTCTCCACTGATCATATTCAAGAAAAAAATGGAGGAATTTGCAGGATTGAGGCTATATGCATTTTTCCATGAGGCCAATTGGAGGATTTTGCAGGATTGAGGCTACATCCTAGCAAAAAGGCCTAGGGAGTTAGGGTTAAGATTGTAGAATTCTTTGGCAAGGTTCTAACACTGAGATTTTAGGGAAAACTAAAAAAGTAAACTTCTGACAAGCCTTCTGTCCGTTTTGCTGGTTCTGAAGAAGGATTATCATTAAACTTGCAAGGCCAAGAACTGAGAATGGCCATTTCTCTGTGTTTATTACCAAGTGTTAACTTACACAAACTGGAAAACACAATGCTTGTAATTTACACAAGTATTACAACACTCCGACACCATTAGTGTTGAAAGAGGAATATTGGTGTTCATTTCACCCACACTTCTGTTAACAATAAGTCAATAAGTCCACGCTTCTAATGTTTCAAATCAGCGCCTGCTTAACTTCAGGCCAACAAAGATGGTCGGTAATTAGAGAACCCAGTGTCTCGGTATCTGCCATATGTTTTCTTGGTCCCTGGAAACCTGACCAAGTTTGAATTTTGAGGCTCATCGGGAATAGAACTTTGATTGTTTCCATTCAAAAGTCAAATTAGTAATATAACCGCTGGCTTATTTTTTATCACAATGGCTAAGTCTGGACAAAACATGCAGTCGTAAACCAAACACCTTTTGAAAAGAGGAAACGTTTTGGTTTCAATTTGATCAAAACCGATCTATTTATCTTTACATGCAGGACGATGCAACAACTGTCTAGTATTTTTTAAACCATGGGTTCATTTCTGGCTTAGGCTCATGGATTTTAGGCCCATTCCAACTCCGTATAGTCTGTTTCAGAATAGTCTGTTTCAGTCTGTTTGGAGCCAGAACTGCAGACAAATCCAAGAATTTGAAAACATCCACACTGTTTCCACAAAATCAAAGTGATTTAGTTGAAGTTTAATAGAGTTACCCACTGCAATAATCTTGTTTGGTTCCAAACTTTACCTAACCATGCTCAAACAAATTTGAATTTGTGAACTTGTGATATAACTGTCTTTTCAAAATGCACAAATCTGGCATCTTCATGAGTGGAACTTACTGTGAAAACCTGTAAGGCCGAATAAAAAAACCCATGTTTCTCCTCTGGGTTTTGAAAAAAAGGAGGAAGAGGGTCCATCATTTCAAGATGGCCGCCATTTTCAAATTTCCTGCAACCGTTGGTGTTTCCACTGTTCAAAGACACTTTTAAAATGAAAGACAAGTTGGACAAAAAAACTGAACATATTTACAGTGTCATTTAGACTTGTATTGGTCACATATTTCGGAAGTATTTATTTTCCGATGAATTTGTGGATTTTTAAAAGCAATTTAACTGCATTTTTCAAAAATAACAAAAATAATTTAAAAATCCAGGCGGCCTCCAAAAAGGAAGCGGGCAGAGACGAGAAACAGTTTTTTTACTTCGCCTAATAACCATGCGCTCAATTTGGGCCAATTTTCCAACGACGCCAAAAACAAAAGTAAAAAATTCATCATTGTTTTGCAAAGTATTGAACCCATAATTCTCAATACATCTAATTCACTGTTTTTACAATGTTTCGTAAGAATCAGTGCGTGGTGTATGATTTCTTTTTCACGATCGTGTTTTACGACTCAAAAGAACGGCCTGATTGTTGAAGGAGCGTGCAAATTTTTACATGTTTGCACAACACTCCAACTGGGTTTTTCCATCACACTTGATGGGCCATCAAAGTGCATGTAAGTTGTAACTGGGTCCGTACTTCAGTTTATCCAGTCCTAAATTTGAACGATTGCCAAGAACTTTATGATTTTGTTGAATTACTCAAACACGAACAAGAACACTGCAGTGTAAACAAAGGAGGCACCCACTAAGAAGTTTCAAAGGTTGAGATTTAAATTCGTTTCTCTTTGCGGTAGTTTTATGATGCGAAGTTGGCGACTTTGACCCCACCCGACGGTGCAGCAGTGCAGCGCAAAAGCCAAATTAAGAATTTAAGAATCTGATGTAGGACAACTTCAAACTAAGACCCAAGTGAAGAAAAAAATCAAAGTCTAACGTTTACTCACTCTTTATCCTATAAAAACAAAAATTCGCTACAATTTCCACATTTGCAAAGTTAAGGTCCCGAGTATTTCGCCAGCAAAGTTTGAGGTCTCGGTTCAAATTTTAAAAAGGGAGTTTTCTTCAAGATCTTTTACCAGAGCGACAAGCAAATGGTTGCCTAGGCTATAGCCCTATCAACTCATGAATTTTCTGTAATTTATTTTGCTTTCTAAAATGTTACCACCAGTATTGGGGAACTTTCTCCAAATTTCCCCTGAAAATTACCGGACAACTACAGGAATTCACGTAAGTTACTGATGAGCATGTCAGCTGGAGTTACTCAAGCTACAATGTAGGACAACTAGGCCCTATACATGTACATTTAGAGTAGGACAGTTTTTTTCCTCCGTTTTTTTTTAACATGTAAGTAGCTCCTATAGACTAGTAAATATCAAGTAAACAGTCTGGATTTTAAATTCAGGAAATGTTCCATGTATCTCTGTGTGGCTCTTATTACGGAGGAAATTCAGCAGCATTTGAGACATAAAAATGGCCAGAAAAACCTATGGTACCGGTAGGGCCAGTATCACAACTCCAGAGATAGGCCTACCACTTATGATAATTTATTCGTACGTCAATGGCAAGTTTGTTCATGAGAACAGAACAATGATACCAAGAGCATTGTTGTTATTTAATAGTCAACCCGTTAAAGTATTTTATTTTTGAGAACAGTTGTCGTCGAGCTAACACACTAGTGGATAGCGAGATGAGCTATGAATACAAAGATCCCTGGTTCGAATCCCCGTCGTCGCTGCTCATTTTCATCGGCTGTTTTTTTTCTCTGAATTTATCACTGAGATAATTCTAATTAAAGGGGAAAAGAGAACGAGTTAACCTAAGTGTATTGCAGTGGTTCAAAGGAAAACATTCAGTTGTGATACTGGCCGCTACCAAAACCATGAAATACTAAATACATAAATTATGTCAACGGTACCAATGGAGTTGTGATACTGGCGCTACCAAAACCATGAAAACTAGGCTTGCTAGGCCCAACATTATCTACCTCAGACCGCCTCTACACAGGGGTGTGACTGCGAGTGACCACTGATAAAAAAAAAGCTGAAATTGTGAAAACAGCTGAAAAAGATGTAAAAAAGCTGAACTTTGGAAATCTCCTATAATTTTGCACAGAGCAAGTGAGCCGGGAAAAAAACTGAAATCCAAAACAAAACAAAAGCTGAAATCAGCTTTAAAGCTTAGATTTCACACTTTCCATCCAACTGCCACAAAAACTAGTGCCTTTGCCTTAATTTACTTGAACTAAAAATTTATTTCATTAAACCTGGTTCGTTTTGAACAAATGAAAAAAATGTTTGTTAGATATCAAACCAAAAGTCAATGCAACATTAACTCCATCAGTCCATGATGTGAACACAATTTCCCCCAAAAGGCAATTTTCTCAACCATCATGGATGATCATGACCATCATTCCCATCCTAAATCATGACTTATTTGGAGGCAGGAACTAATTACACATTTGATCAATTTATACTTACACTTCTGGTCGGGTATTCGATGACTTGATCGCTCTTCCCCATGTTGCGTCCGTTGGGTGGGCTAAGACAAGTTACATCAATTAAGAAATTGTCTTCAGATCGTTCATCCAGTAAATGTCAAAGGGAAAATCGCTTACACTGGAGCCTCCGACGGCTACAAAATATACAACCGTGCAGCCACACCGCTAGCGGTTCAAATGAGCTGATTACAGCAGTGAAAAACGAGGGTCAATCCTTCCTTTCAAGACCACTGAGCTCATGAATGGTTCACAGATCGTTTGTCAGAGGGCTTTTGTCATGTAAATTACCAAAATGGCACGGATTTTCAGCGTTGGCGATGGCACACGTTTTCACACCCGGATTCTGGTTTTCAGCGCGCACAGCCAGCACAGCGTTATAGAGGGCGCCCCCTTGCGATTATGGCCAGAGCCATACGGCTCTGAGTACTGCTGGCCAACAATATTCCTCCATGAGTAGGCCAAGAACTAATAATAATTAATTTACAGGTATTTCTAGTAGAAGTAGTACCGTAAAAATGATTTCCCCCCATATAAACAGTACGTGTCACTTATTTTCGAACGAAGTTATCCCTTAGTCCCTCAAGTTGTGAAAGCAAACTTCTTGTCGGGAAACCTCGGAGTACCGGGGCATCATTAGTATACCGCGCGAGGGCGGCATTTCGCTTTCGTGCATGTGGTTGCTAGCCATTTGTTAATGCCATTAATGTACTTTCCTCATTAAATTAACATGTCAGTTTGTCTCACTATTTTTGCAAGGGAATATTACCCGCACACTTTGTCAACTGAAAACTTTCTGTCGAAAAAGGGCGCGCTAAACAAAATAGTGATGCCGCAAAGATCGAGCCTAACAAAACCTGGCTAACTTTTATTTTCTTTCAATAGAGGGCGCGCCATACAAATAATGGTCACACAAAGCATGAAAAAAAAGGCTGAAAAAAAAAGCCTGAATGAAGTAAACGTCCACTGAAAAAAAAAATCAACACACTCGTTGTTCCATTCCTTCCTCCATGGTTGTTCCGACAATTAGTCAAGAAATAACCTCATATGTATTGGATTGAAATTTTGTCCAGTGATATCGTGGTGGGTAGCATAAGGAAAAGAGATTGAATTTCATGACAAATCTTTGGACAATAAAACTAACATGACCAAAGCAATTTAGTGTTTAAACTGCGAAAAATACAGTCCTAATGACAGTTAACTTTAATGGATAAAATCACATTGTGCAGAGGAAGTAATACCCATTATGTGGTGTACGTTGTAGAAACCAAAGTTAAGCATCAGTGTTTCCACTTTTTTAATGCCATTTACTTTTACATATTTTTTATTTAAGGTCCCAAGAAAATTTCTGTGGAAATGCAAAATTTAAGGAAACTTTAAGGCAATCCAAAACCTGAAAGACATTTCAAACAAATTTCAAAAATAAGAATTTACAAATTTTGTTCAAAAATAAATTTTGTCCAAACAAAGACCAACCAAATTAGGGGCCTCTATGGAACATTGGAGTCAGGCTAGCTTGAGGGCCTGATGCGCCTGAACCGAAGCCACAAATCTGCATAAAAAAACATGAAAGCGAGTCGCAGATGCCATAGCTTCGAAGAAACGGTTTGCAGAAACTGGGAAATTAAAACCTGTACGAAATAGCTAGGGTTTTTTTTATCACCATGGTAACTTCAATTACAATTTTATTAAGGAAAAATCTAAAAATTTGGAGAAAATTGTAGGGAAATTTCAAGAAGTCTCAGAGATATTTTTCCAATTTGAGAAAATTGAAATTCAGGAAGTGGAAGCACTGTACTGTTCGCATAAACGGAGGTGGAGGGAGAGAGGGTTCTCATGCAGTGACGTATTTACAGTAAATCCGTGCCGGCGACTGAACCGTGTGGGATGACCAAACTTCTATTTTGAATGTGGGGGGGGGGGGGGGGGGGGGGGGACTACACAGTACTACGGTGTTCATGACATGTACATCATGCATATGAAAAACAAGTAAAAAACATAATCTGCTCTGATCTGAGTAAATTATCTTTCAATTAAAAGAACTTCGTAAATAAAGTTGAACTTTCAACATTTGCCTGCTCTGCAACACATAAACTATATTTAACATCACACATCCAAATTATGTGAGAACATTCTTTGTATCCATATTCCATTTGGCATAGTCGACATTTTCCATGGATATAATTGCTCAGCGAGCCACGCCCCCCTTCAATGTTAGGTCCAACCAGTTATTATTGCAGTTTTGAAACTGATTTTCACACCTATCTTCCCACCAAAGTCTAAACTTTACACAAAATAGAAACAAAATATAAATAAGAATTCTTAAAAACTTATTTACAAAATCTGTCACCTATTGATGGTTGGAGTAATCCCAAAACCACTCAAGGTACTCAATAAAGTTTACGGTTGCTCCATGTAACAAAATAATCTCTTCTGTGAGTTTGTTAGGTATTGCAAAGAGTCGGGATAACTCAGTGCATTTAATGTTTTACATTATACAATCATTGTCAGGCCAACGATTCTATACAAATGTAATGCTATTTACAAACATGCATATAAACTTTCCATCAGTGGTTGGATTACTCCTGAAACTATTTAAAGCATACTCATTGTTTTGATGTTACACATAAACACAATTGTTGTCTGGCCAACCAGTTTCAACTTGTGAAGGAAATGGACCAAACCACTCAAACAGCCTCAGTGTTTGATAAGAAATCAACGAGTACCATGCATCACCTGCGTATCGACTTAGTGGGGTTTAAATGCACACACGTACATATTCGATGCCTATTATAATTTTGTTTGTCAAGTTAAAATGTTTGCAGATGTACAATCGGCAAATCATATACACTCTAAAGAGTCCCAGGTCAGATTGGACCTGGCGAATCTGGGTCAAATGTGACCTGACACTTCTCTTATTAGCGACCTTTTTGATGTGATTTTTCAGGCAATGTAAATGTCCGTCGGTATTAAATCGGAACGGCTCAGGTTTAGCCATTTAAGTGCGCCATCTTCCGGCCCCTTGCTTGGCCCAGGACAGTCAGTCGATCGCCACAATGTGTTGTTGCCAAAAATGTACTAGGACAGTCTCAATGTGGATATGTGACATACAGCCGAGCCAATGTGCCCAAAGTCTGTTGCCTGTAGTTCGCAGTCATGTATTTCAAGTCTATTGAGGCTTTTCAAGTGTTTGAAATGAGGGGCCCATTTTATAGCCGTACCTCCCAATTTTGTGCAATTCTGTATGTAAAAATTGGTGAAGAATTTGTTGGATTTCAGTGGCGACAGAATGTTTTCAAGATCGGGGCCTTTCAGTAAAGGACAATTGGAGAGCCACAGTTCCTTGAGGTTTTCCATGCAACGCAGGGCGACGGCTAAATCACTGACCGAAAACACCCAAGAAACCTTAACAGTTTCAACGCGTGCCAGGTGTGCCGTGGCGCTATCGGATCTACAGATGACTTTAAGAAGGTACATGAAACTGCGGAAATTGTTATTCTTATCCACATCGATAGTTGTTGTGATATGCGAGTCGCTGGTGAGGCAGAGTGGGACCTTTGCTGACTGGCTTTCAAAAAAGCAGTCTCTTATCGCTTGTTTGATATCCGATTGATACATGGGCTTAGTCCTATTTTGATCTTTATTAAGCATACGGTCGAGCAGTTTTACGATGTCTGTCATGCACTCATTTTTAGCACAACAAAAACGTAAAAGGAAATCGTTTGAACGGACGCCATCATTTGTCCGACAAAGTTGCCTTAAACTGTTGTCAAATTCCCGAAATGTTACAAATATGTGTAATAATGCACGCATTACAAATCCCTGGTTTGACGTATGTACACTCTGCAAGTATTTCGCCGCACAGTATTCCTGCATAGTGCTGTGCATGAATTTTATTTTGGGGGGGGATTTTCTGTGTGTTATAACGCTTTGCTGGTAAGTTAGGATGCCCGCTTTTAGAGCCAGGTTGCATGCCTTCGCTTCATCTTCTTTAAATGAGCATTCCTGGCTGACACTCTCAAGAGTCAAGAGTCCACGCAGCGCAGTTCGTCCTATGGCAATGACTGTTTTTGATGCATGCTCTTCAGAGATGTGTTTTCTTGTGAACATGTAATCAACTGCCGTAGTGAAGAGCCGGCAGGTAGTTGTTTTTGAAAGATGTCTTTCCCTGGCCACCAAGCACATAACAAGCACAAACATTGGATTCCTTGCAATATCACTCAGCTTGTTAGACTCTCGAATGGTTTTGATTAGTTCATTGCCACTATCAGGCTTTTGCAAGTTGCCATAGAATTTCCGAATGTATGCATCAACATCCATGTCAGAAAACTCAAGAACCTCTACGTGTATGCAAGGATTCGCAACCAGCGATTCTGACGTCAGTATATCAAGATGGGAGGGGCGCGTCGACACGCAGATGAAGCATTCCCTGTATATGCTTCTATTGAGTGCTTTTAGGATAGAACCGAATGAGGCTACATTGAGTTTTTTGGTCATAATTTCATTAAAGCCATCCAAAAGAATCAAGACCTCATTTTGGTTGGCCAGGATGAATTGTTCAAGTTCTATTTGTTTTATTCCCGTCTTCTGTTTTAGAAGTTGATCGAAAATGCTTTCAACAAGATCGGAGTCTTGCGACAGGTCACACATCTTTAAAAGAAAGACACACTGGAATCTTTTCAGGAATTCGTCTGCCTCATTGGCCCAGTCGTTTGCAATCTTATCAAAAATGGTTGACTTCCCCACACCTACCATGCCAATGAAAATGAGGCGTTTGACGAGTTCTCCAGTTCTTGGTAATGTAAATATTTTGGCATAATCTGTTGAGTTTACACTTTCTTCATTCTGGTCACTGTTTGTATCAGCTTCGTGTACACGTGCTAAACCTTCCCGTATGTTTAACCGTACATTGGAGTATATACTATCTATGTCCAATTGGTCATTATGAACCTCAGGCAACAACTGCACGTAACTGCCTGTTGTTGTATAAACTTTCTTCAATATGTCCCTAGTCTTGTTACCAGCTTCTTGGCAGATAGGAGCCCTCAGCATTTGGTCTTGGTCTGGTCGTGCTTGCATTTCTGTTCAGATCAAAACAAGCAACATGTAATAATTGCTTCAATAAAACGTGGCTTCTGAGACGGGATTAATAGTCTTCCTCAAAGGACGGAGGAAAGCGTGTAAAGGAGATGACGACTTGGGATTTCCAGTGCGTTTTAGTAAGGCAGTGTGCAAACTAATTTTACAAAAAAAAACACGTGTTGGCTTTTGCAGTCCTGTAGCCTTGACCAAGCCAGGCTTTTTCCCTGAACAAACGGTCCGGCAGCTGT